TAAGTGGAAACATCTGGGGATTCATTCAAAAGCGAGGCAGCATTCTTGACGTCAGCAAACAATACTTTGCCGTCCGGAAACAATAGTTTGGCTTTCAGCTCATGTGAGTTCAAAATTTTAAATTTTGTAATAATATTTTGTTTTTGAAGTTTTCTACAAATTGAGTTGAGGTAAGCTGCACCTGGCGAGTAATGCTCGTTAAGATACACACGATTAGTTAAATCCCTACAGGCTCCATCCATTATATCACACGCCTTAAGTGATCTAGTTTTGAAGTATTCCTTCATTATACAGTCACGGGCATGCACATTATTAAATTTGACCAGAATCTGTGCCTTCTTGCTTATGTAAGATACGTGGCTAATGTCACTGCTAGAGATTGGTACGTTGAAAAATGTGCCCAAGGATAGAACAGGGGCAAGAAGATCTTCGATTCCCGCTGGCAATCCACCAATTAACATGTCAGCTCTGTTCAGTCTCCGATGCAACAAATTGATCTCAGCTTGCAGATCAGATAGTTTTGATGATGCATTAGATTCCACATGATTAATACGATCGTTGCAAGTTTTTATGTCACTCCTAATTTCAGTGAAACACGAAGACATTTCATTTTTTATATCATCAAGTGCTGTCTTTATAGAATTTTGTTCTGATTGGTTATTCAATATAAACCCATCAAATTTGGCATTTAAATTGCGAATTTCATCAGCAATGCTGTCACTATTGTGATTGGTGCGGGTGTTTCCATTACATTTAGCACAAATGAAATGCGTATATTTCATAGCACGCAACGCTAATAAGTTTTTATCACTAATCTTGGCACAGGGGGCATGTAGCCATTTGTTACAGACTCCACACAATATACTCCCCTGAGTTTTTGTAATAGTCTCATCACAAGCACCACACTTCGTCATTTTTTCTTCCTTAAACACGTAACAGCGCAGCAAACGGCAGCACAGCAACAAGAAATAGCAGCAACAAAAGCAATCAAGAACAACGAAATAAGCAACCAGCAAAATTTTTACGTAAGAACGCCACAATAAGAAACCGCTTGATGAAAATGATGATGATTAAATGATGATTAAATGATGATTAAATGATTTATCACACGAACTCCAGGTAATTTGTGTCGGACTATTAATAAATTGCAAGAATTTATCGCAAATATTTTGCTATATATCCGATTTAATGGATGTTAACATCAATGTAAAGATCCGAAGTAACCTTGTCATGGCTTTGTGATTTCGCCGGGATTTAAAATATTCGCGGTTTAATGAAAAATTTTGAGTTTTTTCAACACAAAAGATATGGTCTATTTTACCCGCTAAATATTATCCGATGACCACCCAAATTGGTAGGCTTCTTCCCTGCCCTAAACTCTAGCCACATGCGAAATTTCGTCGATTGGTCTATAATTGCGACCTGTATAGCTACTGCAAAATCCGACATTTTTTCAATATTTGGTCCATTTCAACCCCTAAACATTTGGCGATCATCTCCAAAAGAAATAGGGTTCTATTCTGGTCCAAGCCCCACCTACATTCTAAATTTCGTGAAGATCGGACCATAATTGCGACCTGTAGAGTGATTACAAATTAACATGGACAGACGGACAGACGGACGGACGGACATGCATAGCTAGATCGACTCAGCTCGGCGAGCTAGGAAGATCCATATATACTTTCCTATGTGGGAAACCAATATTTCGAGGTGTTACATAAATTCTGGCCCAATCAAACTTATAATACCCCCAACACATAGTGTTGTAGGGTATAAAAACATGTAAACAAGCTGTATTTCGGCCGGGCCGAACTTTGAATACCCATTACTATTTGGAACGAATTTGGCAATTTTCAAAAAAATAAAATCCGTTAAAAATTCTATTAAAATCTTAAAAATACCAAATATATAGTCATTATATTAGGGTCTATACGACGACGTGGAGTCGCATAGGCAATTTTTGTCATAAGCCATTAAATTATTCAAATGCGAAACTTGAAAAAATCGGTGAATAATGTCGCTAAAATCATCAAAATACCGTTAAATGAGGCTATACCAAAACGTGGTCATGTACAGACAATTTTGTCATAGACTGTAGTTCCCATTACGAACTCTAAATACGAAATACGAAGACGTGGGCCTGCATAACCAAATTTTTGTCATAGGCTATAGTACCCATTACGAATCCAAGGTACACAATTTGGAACAATTCCGGTGAATAACGTCCTCAAAATCGCCAAATATCTAATATCGGGGGGCTTTACGATATCTTGAACCTAAATAGATATTTCCCTTCCAGGTAGTAAAGTGCTTGGAAAGAACTTCTAGTATGGATTTTAAGATAATTCCATTGAAAAATGTTGCTCAAATCATCAAAATACCGAATATAGAGAGGTACCGTTATATTGGGGATAAACGATATCGTGGACCTATATAGACGATAATCTTTCGAAGATGAAGTACTCAAAAGGAAAATCCTTATGTGGATTTTTTTCAGACAATTTTATTGAAAAATTTGGCTACAATCATCAAAATACCCAATTAGGGGGTACCATTGTAAGGGGGCTATATGATATCGTATAAATATTATGTTCCTATCTTTACTCTAGCGTGATAATAACAGACGAACAGTGCTAAATCGTCTTAGAATTTTACGCTGATCAAAAATATATATAATTTGTTATGTCTAAAATTGTTATTATTTCGATGAGTTACAAACGGAATGACGAACTTAATATACCCTCCATACTATGTACGGTGGAGGGTATAAAAAAGGTATGTATCATCTTTACAACAGATCTTGTGTTAGCAAAAATATTTGAATGTGTGGAATTTGAAATTTGAAGAGAGTTGGATGCTTCTCGCATTAGAGAGTTTTGGTTTTCAAAAATTTTGAGCCCCTCATGGGGGAGGTACCAGCAGAAATGGTCCGATGTATACAATCTTTATAACAGATCTTGTGTTGATGGAAATATTGAGATGTGCCAAGTCTGCATGAAATCGGATGTTAATTTCGCGTTTTATAAACTTCGAGAATACTTAAAATGTTGACCCTTTGTGGTGGAGGTACTAGAAGGAGTGGACCGATATATTCCATATTCACACCACACCTTGTGTTAACAAAAACATTGTGATGTGTATAATTTGAAGAGATGATTTTTTGATCGTTTTGGTTATTGAAAACTTTGACCCAGAAGAAATAGTCCGATCTCTACCATCTTTATAACAGATCTTATGTTGATGGAAACATTGAGATGTGCCAAGATGTGTCTGAATGGAATCGGATGTTAATTTCGTGTTTTATGAGCTTCATGAATATAAAAATTTTTGGCTCTTTGTGGAGGACGTACCCAAAGAAGTGGATCGATATATTCCATTTTACAATAGATCTTGGATTACTATAAAGATTGTGACGTGTCTAATTTGAAGACAATCGGACACCTACATAAAATTTTAAAAAAGCTATAATTATTCAAAATGTTGACCGTTTGTGGGGGAGGTACTTGACAGAGTGGACCGATATTGTCTATTTTCGCACCTGACTTAGCACTGATGTAAATGTTAGAACTTGCAAAGTTGGAGCAAAATCGGATTATCCTTCCTCTTTCTGTGCAGAAAATATATTTTTTGTGGAAAATTTCGATCTTTTTTTCCTTTTGTGGGGGAGGTACCATAAGGAGTGGACCGATGTATTCCATCTTAACACCAGACTTTGGGTCAATAAAATTCTTGGGATTTGTGAAATTTGAAGACTATCGGACACTTACATCACATTTTATAAGAGTTGTAATTATTCGAAATTTTGACCCTTTGTGGGGGAGGTACTTGATGGAGTGGACCGATATTGTTAATTTTCGCACTTGACCTGGCACTGACGTAAACATTAGGATCTTCAAAGTTCGAGCAAAATCGGATTATCGGTTCTCTTTCTGTGCAGAAAATATTTTTTTTTGAAAATTTCGATCTTTTGTGGGAGAGGTACCAGAAGGAGTGGACCGATATTGTCCATCTCCGAACTCGATCTAAGTTTGACAAAAATATTAATGTGCACCAAGTTTTGACCAACGACATTCGTTATTTCGACTAGGCACGTTTTGACCGTATCAAATGATATATACCCTCTCTAGCCATATGGCTGAGGGTATAAAAATTAAGAGATCGGTTATATAAATGCTATACTTAAACATGAGACTATAGGGTCCATTTACAATATATAAACATAAACATATAAACACAATATTGGGATAAAACTGTAGTGTCCTAATATTTTAGATGCAATCTTGTGGAATAATCCCAAAATTCCATCCCGTTTCGCGGGTTTTTCCAATAAAAAATATTGTTAAAAAATGAAAAATAAACAGAACCAACTGTTGCATATTTAAAAGTCTATTTGCCACTATAAGACTCCAACACAGAGTTAAAGTTAAGCAACCTAAATAATATAGAGTTGTGTCAATCAAGTTCATTGCTCATACACCAGTTGCTGAAAGTATGAGTGATTTCATATATTTCAAATCACTCATACGCAGAATTTTCATACAAACGATCGAAGTTCGCGGATGTAGAAAAGGAGCTAGTATTATACAAACAATGTGGGGTTAACAATGGTTTTAACAAAGCGATGGGCATACGAACGTTCGAATTTGATTTTTTTTATAAATCGGGATTTATATGTAAATTTTCGCATACAAGCACTGATCTACAAAATACAATTAATTCTAGCACCAATTAAATCCGACCACTAGAGAGACCGTCAAGAGTTTTTTTTAATTTAATAAACTAAGCACAGCATATTTCTACAACTATCTCACTACATACACTGGTAAAAGAGTCAATTTGAATAAGCACAGCTCCCAAATAGGAACATCTGCCGGATACGAACTATATTCCCCTATATTCCCCACAAACAGATTAACAATTCTTGTCCTGCAATATTTTGAAAACGTTAACATTTTTCAGTAAATAAAATCTGAAAAAAATAACAAAAACACAAATATATGTCTTTATATACCTGCAATATGCAATGTTTGGATTTTTATTATTATTATATTTAAGGTTGGAAAGAAATAATAAATTTTATAAATTAATGGAAAGGGGGTATATTTTCTTTTTGGATTTCAAAAATTCCGAAAATAATACAAAACGATAAACATTTATTCATTGTATATGAGGAATCAATTGGTTTGATAATAATTGGTTACGATAATAACTACAAAACTAAGATAAGATCATGTTTTTTTTTTAAATTCTAATGTCTAGAATTGGAGAAATTTCCACGAGATCCATTACGATTGGCACCACCACGGTTGGCGCCGCCACGATTATTACCAAAACTATTTTGATTGTTGTTGTTGTGATTGAAATTTTGCCCAGGTCGCCCTGAGCCACCACGATTAGCACCGCCACCGCGTTTGGCACCGCCGCCTCCACGATTTCCACCGCCACCACGACCAAAACTACTGCCACCACCTCCTCCAAATCCTGTCTTTCGTAAAAGCTTATCTTTGTTGATGATATCATCGGCATTGTTGGCCATATATTGGAGATCTGGATTGATATTTTGATTGGCTTCACGTAATATATCCACCAATGCCTTGGCACAGCGGGCATTCTTTCGCGTGAAAAATGCATATGAAGTACCAGTGGAATGTTTGCGACCAGTACGACCAATACGATGGATGTAATCCTCCGACGATTGGGGGAAATCAAAATTAATGACATATTTAATGCCATCAACATCTAAACCACGAGCAGCCACATCAGTGGCAACCAAGATATTAGTCCGACCGACACGGAAATCGGTTAGTACATTATCACGATCCGTTTGTGATTTATCGCCATGTATGGAACCCACTCGCACACCAAATCCATTAATGAATCGTGACAACTCATCGACTTTCTTTTTGGTTGCTACGAAAATGATAATTTTGCCAGGTTGAGGTTGGTCATAGATTTGCGATAGCAAGCCCTTCAGGCGCGTGCCCTTTTCCGATTCCATACAAACGTCAACATATTGACGAATATTATGATTTGCAGCCAATTCCAATGATCCGATGTTAATCTAAAGCGAAAGAGGAAATCATAGAGTAATGTAAGCTAAAGTCCAAAAAACCGATTTTATACATCCACACAACTCTTTTTTGTTATAGAATTTTGGAAATTATGTTAATATCCTGCAATCAAAAAGGCCTTTGGATACTCTTTTATGTAACAAAGACCTTTGAAGGTTTTCTAACAATAAATGGAAAAAAGTCTTTAGAAGACAGAAAGTCTTCCATATATAGACGTCTCTATATGATCTTTAATCTATTAAAAAAAAACCTTTAAAAATCTATCTATAGATTTGAATTTAATACCTAATAGAAATACATTTGGAAATCATTTCGGTGGCCAACTAGCAGCACAATAACTTTTCCATGTAAAATGTACAAAAGATGTCAAAAATTAACCATTCAAATGTCTAAAGAAAATTTACACTATGTTCCCTGTAAAGATAATTTTTACATCGCACTCTAGAAGAGCATCTATATATACAAGAAATTCGAAGAAGATTCCATACAATTGCTTCCATAGTGAACATTACAATATCTTCTTTCATAAGAGACATTTAGAGTCCCAAAATCAATATAAGTTCTTACGAAAATATTCAGGGCATAGAAAGTCGCCTATTTGTAGATCTTTGAAAAGTCTCCTATCCACAGAAGACTTTTAGAAGGCCTCCTACCTATAAAAGACCATCAGAAGGTTCCCTGTATATATGCATGGTAACATGCGTTCTTGTACACATAGGGAATATAAAAGGCGTTTTATCTAAGAATCATGTTTAAACTGACACGGATCTGTGGAGACTTTCAAAAGTTCAACCGCCTATACTTTTAGATAGCTTCCAAAATAAATATATGTCAAAAAAAGTTGTGTGGGCTTGAAAACAGATTTGCATTTTTCCCCAAGTCCAAACATACTTGTATATAATTATTCCCCAAGAAATCCTCAGCCAGCTGGCGAACTTCTTTGGGCCATGTAGCACTCCACATAAGTATCTGACGGTCGGGTCTGATTTGACCCATTATTTTACGAATTTGCGGTTCGAAACCCATATCCAACATGCGATCAGCCTCATCCAATACCAAATATGTGCAACGTCTCATATTTGTCGTACCACTCGATAAGAAATCTAAAAGTCTTCCGGGTGTGGCTATAACCATTTCTACACCATTTTGTAAATCTTGCATCTGCCTTGTTTTCGATGATCCGCCATAGACGCAGGTATTCCGTACATGCACCGTCGAACCAAAATCATTTGCTACTGTCTGTATTTGTTGTGCCAATTCACGGGTCGGTGCCAATACCAATGCTATGGGTCCGTCACCCGGCTGAATGGGTGGCTGATGGTTTATGTGTACAATGGCGGGCAGAATAAATGCCAATGTTTTGCCAGAACCAGTCATGGCAATGCCGACCAAATTTTTGCCACTCATTGCAATTGGCCAGGATTGTGCTTGAATTGGGGTTGGTTGATTATAACGCTGGCGACGTATTTCATTCATGCAGTAGTCGGGAAAACAAGCCTCATCGAAATATATTATTGGGTTTGGAGCGGGTCCGCGTACAGTGATTTCGTTTTCGGCTCTGTAGCGTTGAACTTCTTGCTGCGATCGTCCTCTGGTTATGGGATGTTCTTTATAGAAATTCTTTTGAAATGGAGGCAATTTAAATTGACCCCAATTTACGTCTATCAAACCTAGTTACGGAAATCGTTTAGTCAACTCATTGCAGGTACTTGGAAATGTGTCAACTTACTTGCAAAATCACTTTCGTATTTACCACCACCAACTCCGCTGCCACCACCGCCATTTCCAAACCTATCGCGACCACCTCGACCTCCGGGTGGTCCACCACCACCACCACCCCCCGGTCCATTACGTCCCCTACGCTCTACTCGTCCAGAACGTATGTTCCGGCCAGGTCCACCTGCATTTCCTTGTCCACGTCCAAATCTAGGACCACCACCGCCGCTACCGCCTCCCCTGTTACCACTTCCACCACCAGCTCTTGCATTTTGATTTCTTGGTGGTGTCATTTCGAGTGCAATTCTCTATAAATTGCCGACGGTTTACTTTCGCTTTTCTCTTCTCCAAACCTTTATAGAATTTAAATTGTATTTATGTATGCCACAATTGTAGCTTTATGCTATGCTTCCTTTGTAAAATTGTAGCTAATAATACAAATTAAAAGTATCCAATAAACTATTTGCAAAAAATATAGCCGAAAGAAGCAATTGAAAACAATTTGACAGTATAGAATCTATAAGCAAAAGCTGAGGTTTGTGAAAGCGGTGTATAACAAAGTTATATACTGTTATTCATTAGAGTGTGATATACAGATGGCGCTGCGCTTTTATACAAATTTGCTTTGCATGCAGAACTCCTTGGAAATGTTTACTGAAAAGCCGTTTTCTTATCCCCAAACTGAAAAATCATGAATCTCATATGAAGCTTGGGGACAGATTTAATCTTCAAATAAAATTTTTCATTTTTTGTTACGTTTCTGTTTTATAATAGAAAAAAAGGTTTATTAATTAGCGGAAGAAAATTACAATATTTATCAATGGATAAGACAAGGAAATTATAGTATTGAGGTGGACTATGTTCCCTCAGTTTTTGTCAGTCAGATATTAAACATATGTCGGCAGGAAAGCGCAATCAGGAATTTCACAAAGGCATGAATTGCCTAGTACCCTCTACGGCCTGCGTGGGCCGATATTGCATTTTCTTCCAATGAGAATACAAAGATAACACTTAATTTCTATGTTGACCATTTTTTGTAAGAAAAATGAAAACTCGAAAGAGAAATTAAACTTGACTTAGTCGGAAATTGATTTAAAACAGCAAATTTTTTTCGCATTTCACGAAAAACCTTCTTTATGAGGAATTGTTTCATGTATGTGCAATGTAATTGATAATTAAAATCCAATGGATTTACTCAGGGTACAATAAAAAGGTAAAGTAGAGCTACCAGCTGATTACAATTTTTTTTCTAAGTGTGCCCGACTTCTGCCAAGTTTGAGCATGTATTTATTGTTGTCAAAAATGAAAAAGAGAATATTTTTTAAAACCAATCATTGGAAGACACGTACATTGCGGCTCGCGCATGAAAGCAATTAACCAGTTTAGCGATGAAATTGAAAGTTTGGATCATATTTTTTAATTCCAGGCATTTCATTCTCTTTTCGCGCTATTTAACTCATTTTAAAAATTAGGAAAAATATGAAAAAATTGAAAACAACTTGTTGTATATAATTTTTTTTTTAATTAAGAAAATGTGCTGTCAATACAAAAGCTCGCCTCTATGAAAACCAATTATGTCGTCGCACGCCAAAAATAAGAAACACCTATAAACAACTATCAGCTGTAAAAAGGCAACATGTCTGTGGAAGAGTTGAATGGCAGTGAATTGGGAACCAAAGATTATTGGGAAAAAGCCTACGAACGTGAAATAAAAAACTACAAAAGTCATGGCGACGTTGGAGAAATTTGGTTCGACGAAGACTCACAGATACGTGTCATCAATTGGATCATGAAACAAGATGATATACCGGATGATGTTCGTGTTATTGACTTGGGTTGCGGCAACGGCATGCTACTCATAGAATTAGCACGTGAAGGATATACAAATCTGTTGGGAGTCGATTATTCACCAAAAGCAGTAGAACTTGCCAAAAATATTGCTAATGATCAAGAATTAACTATTGATTACCAGGTGGCAGATTTAATGAATGTGGAGTCGTGCAAAACGTTGGGTACGTTTGGAATTGTTCATGACAAAGGAACATACGATGCAATCAGCCTATGTCCCGATAATCCCAAGGAAAAGCGGGAGCTGTATATTGAATCTGTGACAAACATGCTGGATGAAAATAGCCTATTTATTATTACCTCATGTAATTGGACAGAAGATGAACTGATCGCGAGTTTTGCGGGAAAATTCATCAAGAAATGTTCGATACCAACACCATCTTTTAAATTTGGTGGTAAAGTGGGAAGTGTTGTTACTTCGGTGGTATTTAAGAAAGTTTAGGCATTTGATCAAAATTTGTGTTTTTTTAAATAAATTTTTTAAAAGAAAAAAAAATGAATTCGTTTTACTCACCGTTTCTATATGGATCTGAAAGTAAATGGTTAAATATTTATTAATTTAAAAGGCATTTATAATTGGATTGCAAAAAAACTTACCATATATGTTACTTGCTTTGTTGTTGCGGCACGCCTACTTAACTACAGAAGGAGCATCAGCGACAATTATGGAATATGTTAACATTTTGAAAGGCATCGCGTACATTATAAATAATAACATTGGACTTTAATAAAATTAAATAAACTGCACGGCTTAAAACTTAAAAAACTTATAATTTTATCAAATTAGCGTGGAAAATGCAGAATTTTCCAGACTGGAGTACAAATACAAAAATGCAATAAAATACAAAGAAAATCATAAAGGTAGGAGTTTTGCGGAAGAGGATTATATCTTAAGAACTTATTTTGCCTTTATGCTATTTCCGAAAATGTTCACCAATTTGCCCGTGATTCTAGCTTACGTATTCTTACACACACTTTAACACATTAAAAAGGTATATGCAAATTATAATTTAATTCATATTGCATCCATAATGCAATTCATGGAAATAAAATTATGGCCGCTCCACATAATTTCTTTACGAACCAAATACTATTTTCCATTAAAACTTTTTTATTAAGGAACGCTAAAACGGGGAAAAAGTTTACAATTTTTATAGGGATCCTTTGATAATCAAAGGAAAGCTAACATTTTGTACACACACACCGAGACTATCTCATAGGAGCAATATGAGCGTTGACACGAAAATATCATCACTTTAAAGAGACCCTTTCAGATCTATACGAATTTCGCAATGTCATCTTAACGAACCGAAAAAACATATACGACGATCGAAAGAACACAATTAAAACACATGAAAATTATTTAACACAATAAACAATAACGTTTGAAACCCTTTTTATGACAGGAAATTAATGCTAGAACGGAAATAAACGAGGTTTCTAGGAACACAATTCACGAAAAACACTTGCAAAAATTTTTTGACGCCATCATTTATTCGAAACCGTTATAAATATTACAGTTGCCTAAACGCGTAGTAAATGTTGATAATCCGTAGGGCCGTTATTACATTATACCTTGAATTTTTATGTAGAGTACACACTATCAATCAATTTGGAATCACGTATTTTTCATTTTGTTGGTGTTGATAAGCAGTCGAATGAATTGGTTTCATATTTTTTGTTAAGATGTGAATGAAATTGCATAGCTTTGATAGATCTGAATAAAGGGGTAAGGTATAGCTACCAGATACGAATTTCTGTCCATTCTATGTCCATGTATGCATTTATTGTTTTGAAAAATAAAAGCAAGATATTTTATTAAATTAATGCTTGGAAGAAACATACATTGCAGGGCACGCATTAAAGATACTAACAGTTTTGCCATGGAATTGAAAGATTTAACAGTTTGGATCATATTTTTAAAGAAAATCCTGACATTTAATTAAATTTTCGCGCTATGTAACTAATTTTAAAAATTACGAAATATAACACATCTATGAAAATCAAAAATTGTTAGCACTTGTTGCATCTATGCAGTTTTTTTGTAGAAAAAAAATGCAAAAAAAATTAAAGATTGAGAGTCAAACTTTGTAGATTAAACGGCTGAGCATTAATAACAAATTGATGATTTTCAGAGATGATTTCTCTACTGAAGGAATGTAAACGTTTTTACTATAATATCCGATTGTCCCCTCATAATCTCGAAGGAAAGGAAGGAACAGGTTCTGAAACAGGGCAATATTCATTCTATGACAAATAGTACAAGATCTCAAGTCTTTTGTGTCATATAAACAGAAATATATTCGTTCCAAACTTCATTTACCAACACTGGTTTATGCTACACCATCGAATAGTGTCATCTCACTCTCCTTTTATGTTCAACCCCACAGACATCAGCTTTTGTATTGTTCAACGAAACGTCACATACGTTTTCCACGAATGTCGATGTCGTGTCTGCGTCAAACCGAAATTAAACTTCTTGTCGGGCGGAACACAAAGTTTGACTGGTAGGATAGTTGGAGAAATTTTGTACATTTCTTTTATAAAAACGGGTTTCTTTTTTAATTAGTTTTTTGAAAGAAAGACACTCCGAGGTCTAGTGTTTATTTGTTTGCTCAAAGCAATAAATAACACAAAACAAATTCCATATCGCAAGGAAAACAGTGTTTCTGACACAAGAAAAGTGAAGTGCACCCCGCCTCTTGTCATCTAATTCACCAGATATTCATTGTCACCTACTTCAACAGAAAAGAAAAAAAGAAAATGAGTACAACAAATACAGCAGCTGCTCCAGCCACAGTAACCACTGCTCCTGCATTGAAACTGAAGGGTGTTGTTAAACAGGTAAGTGCTTGCCAAAATAGAAAACTGATGCAGTCATCGGACGTGTAAGGAAACTAAGCCTACAATTTTGCAAAAAGAAGGAAAAAAATAAGTTAAAATTCCAACACAGCAGTCTGTCAAATTTAGTCACAAAAAACGGCAGACAATGAAAGGCCGACGACGAGACATGCACACGCACACACATACGTCAGCAGAGTTTTGGTCAAGAGAAGTTGGCTGCTGCGCAAAGGAAAGAATAAGCACTATACTGGGGCATGGGCGAGTAACACGCTAGACCGTATATCAATTGAATGAAAGTTCGTTTCATACAGTGCCAACCTGGCAGATTTCGTTGAGGAAAACGAATGTTGACTTTGCAGTCGCCGTTAGCGTTTCACAGATAGTGTCGTTTGCCGGGCTGCCTGCGTATTGTAGTTATTAACCTCACTTTTTTCCTTTTCGTTTTATGCTTGATTATATATGTGTGTATGTGTTTGTATTATTTCTCTGCTCTCTTCTCTCCAAAAAAAAGTAAATTGTCATTCTTTCAAGCAAATAAGTTATGGAGAAGAAAAAATGTTTTGCGGCATTATGAAATCTTCTAGTTTTTCTGGCTAGAATTGCATATTAAATGAAAATAGTTGTTACAATGAATAGTTTGGGTTGTTATTCATTGCCTTCTTATAAATATTTCAAAATTCCCTCAACTTTCACTTTTTCACAATTTATTGTTTATGCCTGCCAGCAGATGGGAGAGGAGTCAGAAAAGTGTTTTCTGTCATATCGAATGTGTGTTGGCTGCGTTATAGGCAGTTTTGTTGGATCATGCTATCATTTTTATCAGTTACGACGACTGACTATGCTTATTGTTTAAATAACATAACTCGTGGCATTTTTTGTATACCAGCTAAGCAGAGAATTAAAGTCAAAGAATTTATATTAACTTTTTCCATTCCTACAGATAACTATGCCAATAAAAACATGCAAATTGGGCCATAACCAAACATATGTTTAGAGAATTTTGGTTTTCCAAAGTTGAGTGGAACTTTTTGTCAGAAGATTTTGAAAAGCATTGAATTTTAGAGGGAGTGGTGATTTGCAAATAACGCTGACTATTAACATAATTTCACCACAAACAATCGCACAAGCTTGGTTGATTGCCTACCATTAAAAAGTGGATTGTGAATACCCACCAACAATTTTAGAATCTATCGTGCTCTTCATTCTTTAGCATCAAAAGAGGAACATCAATTATCGCTGACTTACCAATTTCGTAATTTATATACAACACATCATAGCATAAACGATATATAGCATAAATTTCAATCATGTCCGTCTCCCTTCCCTTCTGCTTAATTGTGAAATCATATATATTAGAGTTACTCCTGTTATCTTTGGCATAAGGACTCGGAGCAGATCGATTCCAATTTCGGCACAGAGACACACCCTCTTTATGGCATATTAATTGCCTACTTGTAATTGTAATATGTAATATGGAACATGTTGCTCTCAAACCCTTGAGCTTGCGTTTGAATTTTTGGATTCTCTGTTTTCACACCACCGAAGTTTGTTTATTTTGACGTTGTATGAGTAAAATGCTAGCTCCTAAAAAGTTTCCCTACTCAGATTGTCGATAATTTGGATGTATATAGTAGCTTCCTAGTGAAACATTAAAATATTAGATTTTAATGAAGATTAGAATTGTCTCAACATTTATATATAATGTAATGTTTATATCGTCTATCAAAAATTATATTGTTCCTGCAGCATTGGTACCTGGTACTGAGGGCCTGTTCTTTGTTCGATACAGACAATACACAAGAAAGTGCTTCGAGCTTATTTATTTTACTGCCACTCTGAGTATCCCATTTCGTGCCTAAACAATTAGGAAAGTTAATTGCCAATTGATTTTTGATGGCTTCTATGGGACCATTCTACATCCTATCATTTTTAACAGTATTCATTCGACTGTAGGTCCTGTTTCAATAAGTCTCCAATCAAAGAAGCAGTCAAAAGTTCATCTGTCCGGTAATCTCGAGAAGAAGAACAAACCCCCTGAACTAGATCTAATCTAAGAATCGCGATTACAGCTTTTCAAAATACTTAAAATTGGTCGATTATCCTATGAATTATCGAAGCATTTTTTCTCTGTACTTTTTTAGTTTAGTTTTTAGAATTTGGATTCCGTAAAAACTCATGTAGTCTAGTAATAAATGCATTATGTATTTTTGTTATACAAAATCTCACGTTTACAAATGGCATGGCATTCATATTTCTTACAGAGTTCTCATAACACAACCAAAAATTTCGTAAGAAAACACTAGCCAAAGTGGATTGAGGGTATTAGTTTTATTTTGGTGTTATGTCCAAGGGTGCTAAAATTTGGAGAAGCAATCGATGTTCAAAGAAATCCAATAATACGTAGATTGTCACTTAGGGAATAGTATTAATCGGGTCAATTGAGTATTCTTCAGTAATTGCCGTTAGAACTATGCTAATAAGCTTAGATCGTTTACCATTAACCACATATTATTTCTTTTTAAATTTTCCCCAAATTTACTGTTCTCAATTATTCCTTTACACTTATCATATTGAAAGAGTGGTACCCACTTTTTAAATTACTTACTTCTTGATTCGCTGTCCATAAATCTTTTCCTTTGAATTGGTTTTTTTTGTCAATACCCAGGCGATAATACCAAATTGCCAGATCATCAATTTTGAATGCACCGCAGCGCACACGAAATCAACAGCAATTCAGAAAATTGTTATTTTCTTTTTCTCCCTTTTCAAATCTTATTGACTCTGACTGATAGCTCTTATCATCCACATGTATGTATGTACCTACATATTTTTGAGCTATCTACCATCTTACCTAGCCGCATTTGCCAACATGTCTATTTTCTACAGTCGATTGTTGTTGTGAGTGTTGAAGCGGTAAGGTATTTAAAGCCGATGGTAGAAAAGTTGTTTGACTGCTATTTAACATTTACTTTGATTTTCTTCAGGTTGTTGGTTTTGTTGGTTTTTATAGGTTACCGTTTACTCTTGATCCATTCATTCACTTGTTGATTTGTAACTATTTACCAAGCAGCTGCAAACAATAACACTATGTAGAGGAGGGAGGGGTATAATATTTTAAAGATTCAGTGAATTGCGATATAAAATGTGTGTTAAATTAAATGCAAGTAGATGTCTAAAAAGATGTTAGAATTTTAATACGTTTGTAGAAGACAATGAATTGTATGGGACTGCACAAGTTTGTTAATCATAATTTTTTTTTTTCAAGATTTTATTAAAAAATAATTATTTTTATTCCTCAGAATGCCTTAAAACTTCTTTTTTCTTCACCCGCTCTAATCGTTATCCCTTCATATGCAATATGTTTGTGTTTTTTTTTTTTTTTCTTTTAATCTCATTCCCCCATTGCTTAGAATACAATTAAAACGAATTAACTAGGTAATATCTCCGCTCTGACCAAGCAATTTCATGGTGGCAACACAGCCAGCCGTTGATAATTTACTTTATTCCCTTTGGCTTTTTTATTCTGTAGGCTATCTTTTTTATATATTTTTATTTCTGTGCATACCTCTTATGGTAACACAATTTGCTTTTGAATTGAAAAATTGAAATAAGGTCTCTTGTGTTTTTATTAGAGCAGCAAGATTCAACTTGAATGGTGTTTGTGTGATAACCTAGTTTATGTTTCAACAAGTAAAACAAATGAAGCTATGTTCGGTCACAACGAATTGTATATGCCCTCAAATGCAGGGAAATGCTAAGATTTTCCGTTTATATTGTAGAGAAATAACGATGACAATAAATATGTAGAGTTTTGAATGACGGCATTATAACTAAATAAAAGCCACGAAAATATAAGGACTTTAAGGAAAAGATAACCACCAAAGGTTTTTTTTTAATTTTTGAATCTTGTCCAAAATATATTTTCCTCCTAATACCCTCGAAAGAGTCCAGAAAAACCTGTGACACTGATACATAACAATTTATTGTTGTGCTTGATTTTACATTCCATTATTGTTTAAAATATAATTTAGCAAGGAGTGTAGTTGCTGGAGAAGATAAATGTTGGATGGAGATTTTTGTAATAGTCCGAATATTAATAAGAAATATGTTTGACTACAAATGCATCAAGATTTATTTTCCTAGTATAGAGGGTGAAATAAAAAAACAGCAACAAAGTCAAACGCCATCATTTTAAATTTTTTTTTTTTAATTTTATTGAATGAAAGCAAAAAATGTCGGAAATAGCATCAAATTTTAGAATAAGTTTAGATTTGTTCGAATTGGTCACCTTTGGCAAGTAAACACGATTATTTTGTTTGTTTACAAACTGCTGGACAACGAATGTTTTTTCATCGGAGTAAACCAAATCCGGCAGTTCACCACCTTCGAATAAGCGAAGCAACTCTTTAGCTCTTTTGAGTCTATTTTCTTTCTGTTGTGGTGTAAGTTCTTGCACTTTTGGGAATTTCAATGGTTTTACTCCGAGCTCATTTTTCAGTATTTGCCGAATGGAATATAACTCACGAGCCATTTTTCGGCTACTACAACGCGGTTTCGGTCAAGTCGCTTCTTTACTTTTCGAACCATTTCTGCTGAAGTTACTGTTTTCTTCCGTCCACTTTCTTGACGTCGGGCTACGCTACCAGTATCACGGTAAAGAGCGATGGTACTAGACACAAAAGATTTATTCACATTTGAATGCTGGAGTTCTCTAACGATAGCCACTTGTCGTTTTCAGCCAAATATAAAAAAACCACACTATCACGATTGAATTCTATCTCGAATAATTTTTTTTTTAAATTGTGACCAACATGCTTTTGTACTCTTGTAAACAATTTATTGAGCTACCACTGGAATAATTTTAACAGCTGTCGGACGAGTGGCTTAGAAATGACAGCAGTCTGAAGTTGGTTGCAGTTTTTTCATCTCATCCTGTATTTCTAGTAATTAAGGATCTATCTTTACGGACCAACTGTTATTTTGATTCATATCTTGCTACATCTTCGGCCACTTACAATTGGAAATCTTACAGCAGATACCATTTGTCATTACCGTCTGGGCTTTTATTGATGGGTCTTTGGTTAAGACTACGATAATCTCTTTCTATTTATCATAAATTTGGGCAAAGAAAGTTGACTTTTTGAGATTCCCAAAGTTCATATATATATTTGTTTCAAATAAAACACAAAATTTTCCAATTGTCCCAATAGTGTAGATATGTAAAATTATTATCAATTCTGGGAAAATTTTATCAAGAGATAAGCGGGACTATCTATTGTACAAAACGCAAACGATGCAAACGTTGAAATGTATTTTTCTCAAAACAGGCAAATGTGGGGAACATTAAAGCATGACATTGACAACGTGCATATCGAGACAATTCTGAGTTACGTTCCTCCTATACACAATATTTTTATTTTTTGTAGTAAATCGGATGAGTTAATAAGCTAAGCCAAGCCTCACCACCTGAGTGAAAGACCCAATTGCCTTAAAAAATACAAAGCCAATAAAGTTGTTAGGGTTCATGAGTCCAAAATCATTGCAAAACACCATTCTCTTTACCATCTTTCCGATCAATTGCTGTTCAATTCAAGTCCAATCAATAACTCGAATCATTTTGAAGTGACATATAAATTATTCAGCCCAAGTTTTAAAAATAAATCCCATTATCATTTTAATTACTTTTCCGTGTCAAATTTATCATTATTAAACATTTTGCGATAAAGCGATTTGATTTTTATTCCATTTGAATATTCTAATATATATGATTTTTTATATGCCTTAATTGCATATACCATGTTTCTCATACACATAGCCAAATTATATTTATTCACTTGTACCAGTAATTATTCTTATACTATTATTTCTACAATATATCAATTTTAAACAAAAAATTAATTTCAAACGCCCAACGTTTTTATTGACATATGTTGACTACGAAATCAACTCTGGCTATTTAAAGAAATAATCGCTCCCCCAGTGAGAATTGCAACCAACTTCATTCGATTCTGTAGAGACAACCCTGTAACATATGACAGATAAATTAGTTCTTTTTCCTACAAGTCGTTGAGTTGTGAACACGTGCCTGGTCAATCTTTTCATTAATACGAATAAGTTTATATAAATAATGTAGGTATTAGTCCATCACTGAATTTTGTTCCATTTTATAAATATTTAAAACCCAAATGAAATACTAATTTATAAAATTTTATTTTGCAGGTTCTTTCCGGCGATACAGTTGTTATCCGTGCCAGCAAAGGCGCCCCACCACCAGAGAAACAAATCACTTTCTCTTATGTTCTTGCTCCCAAGCTAGCCCGCCGTCCCGGTGCCGGTGGTGATGAGACCAAGGATGAACCTTGGGCTTGGGATTCCCGCGAATTTTTGCGCCAAAAATTGATTGGCAAAGAGGTTATGTTCTCCTTCGAAAAGCCACCAAACTCGAATCGTGAATATGGTTTTGTGTGGTTGGGCGATGAGAGTGGTGAAAATGTTGTCCAAACAATGGTTAAGGAAGGTCTTGTGACTGTCCGCCGCGATAGTCGCCCACCAGAGCCCCAAAAGCAAGAAGATCTACAAAAATTGATCGAATTGGAAGATCAAGCCAAACATGCTGGTCGTGGAAAATGGTCACCAAATGCTAATCCCAACGATCATGTCCGCCAAATCAAATGGACTCAGGACAATCCTTCCCAAATTGTTGAGCTGTTCGGCGGCAAACCCGTGAAGGCCATTATTGAGCATGTACGTGATGGTTCGACTGTGCGTGCCTTCTTGTTGCCTGATTTCTATTACATTACCTTGATGATTTCGGGTATCCGTTGTCCCGGTGTTAAATTGGACGCTGAGGGTAAACCTGATTTGAAAATTAAGGTTCCTTATGTCGATGAAGCCCGTTTCTTTGTTGAAACCAGATTGTTGCAACGCGAAGTACAGATTCTCTTGGAATCCGTAAACAATGCCAACTTCATTGGTACCATCCTGCATCCTAAGGGCAACATTGCTGAATCTTTGCTGCGTGAAGGTTTGGCCAAGTGTGTTGACTGGTCAATGGCCCTAATGAAAGGAGGTGAGTTTCTAAATAGTTTTCTGAAAATAATATTCCCGAAATCCAAACCATGATTCCTTACTGTGGCGTCTTGATCTCGAGTATAGAATTGATCCCATTTTTATATTCGGAAACCATGATGCCAGATTAATGTAGACAATATCAAGGTGTTTTTGCTGTACTCTGCCATAGCTCAATCATTAGTTAATTTGTCTACATTGGAATTGAAATTCGCATCATTTGGCGTTACTTAAAGTAACATGAGTCATTACTTAGAAAAACTTTAAGCTGTCGCCAAATGATGCTATATAAAATTTGACGGACTCCAAGATTTTTAGGTCTTGTATCAGTGATCTTTAAATCATTTCACCCCGGCTACAAATATGTATATAATTTACTTTATTGTTAGGATTTATTGCAAATAAATCTAATAAAATGTGTTAATTTTTCCAGGTGCCGATAAACTTCGTGCCGCCGAACGTATTGCCAAGGAGAAACGCTTGCGTTTGTGGCAAGACTATAAATCCAATGCCCCAACATTCAACACCAAGGAAAAAGATTTCACCGGTGTTGTCGTTGAAGTATTCAATGGTGATGCCATCAATGTCAAGTTGCCAAATGGTCAAATTAAGAAGGTGTTCTTCTCTTCGATTCGTCCACCACGTGATACACGTGCCGTTGTCGGTGCCGATGGTGAGGAAATTAAGGCTCCACCACGCCCCAAGAACTTCAGACCTCTCTATGAAATTCCCTTCATGTTTGATGCCCGTGAATTCTTGCGCAAGAAGTTGATCAACAAGAAGGTTCAATGCGTTTTGGACTACATTTCACCTGCCCGTGATAACTTCCCTGAAAAATACTGCTACACCGTTTTGATCAGTGGCCAAAATGTTGCTGAAGCCATGGTTGCCAAGGGCTTGGCCTCCGTTGTACGTTATCGTCAAGACGATGATCAACGCTCATCATGCTACGATCAATTGTTTGCTGCCGAAAACCAGGCCATCAAGGGTCAAAAGGGTATGCACGGCAAGAAGGATGCCGCCACCATGCGCGTTAACGATCTTACTGTTGACCATTCCCGCATTAAGATTCAATATTTGCCTTCGTGGCAACGTGCCCTTAGGACAGAGGGTATTGTTGAATTTGTTGCCAGCGGTTCCCGCATTCGTCTGTACATCCCCAAGGACAGTTGTTTGGTCACATTCTTGTTGGCTGGTATCTCCTGCCCCCGTTCCTCACGTCCAGCTTTGAATGGTGTTCCCGCCCAAGAGGGTGAACCCTTCGGTGATGAAGCTTTGGCATTTACCCGCGATCGTATTTTGCAACGTGACGTTTCTGTGCACATCGATACCACCGACAAGAACGGTACTTCCGTTATTGGCTGGCTTTGGACCGACAACAACACCAACTTGTCCGTGGCTTTGGTTGAAGAAGGTTTGGCTGAAGTTCACTTCAGTGCTGAGAAATCTGAATACTACCGCCAATTGAAGAGTGCCGAGGACCGTGCCAAGGCTGCCAAGAAGAACATCTGGGCTAACTATGTTGAACAAGTTGTAGAAGAGACTCCCGTCGTTGAAGAGAAGGAAGAAAAGGGACCCGTCGAACGTAAAGTCAACTTGGAAGACGTCATTGTAACTGAAATCACCGAAACCCCGACATTCTATGCTCAATCCTGTGCCAGCGGTTCTAAATTGGATGCATTGATGGCCAAATTGCATTCTGATTTCCAATCGAATCCCCCAATTGCCGGTGCCTACACACCCAAACGTGGTGATTTGTGTGCCGCCCAATTCTCTGCCGACAATCAATGGTATCGTGCCAAGGTCGAGCGTGTCCAAGACAACAAGGCCCATGTTTTGTACATTGATTACGGCAACAAAGAGGTAAGTGGAAAAGAATCAATCTTTATAGACTTTATATGTTATGGCACGCTCCTTAGATCCGTTTCCGTCTAAAAGTGAAACGCTTGAGTCATAAGCTTGCTAGAGCAAATCATGGCAAAATATCTGAATCCAAATACAAACATCGTGAGGTTTGACTAAAATTTGTAATGAATTTAAACTTGATTGTCGCCATAATTGCTAGTAGAGGCATCATGAATGGCATTCCATGTGGTGGTGGAAGATTCGACTTTAATATTTTTTTAAAGTTATACAATTGGAAACCTCTGCTGTGTTTGACATTCCGCTTTAAACGCAATTGACTTTCAGGGGTCATCGTATTCATGATGTAAGAGATATTTTGTCACAATATCCCAACTCTACAAACGGATGTTGGAGAGAGAGAGTGAGAGAGAGGAAAAAAGAAAAGTTGTTACAAAGATACTAATTCGTTGTTTTCTCTTTTTCCCCAGGTTGTTCCCTTCACCCGTTTGGCATCTTTACCATCTGGATTCTCCAGCGAAAAACCATTTGCTACCGAATACGCTCTAGCTTTGGTTCAACTGCCTCAGGACAACGAAGACAAAGAGGAAGCATTGCGTGCCTTCGCCGAAGATGTACTGAATCGTAAAGTACAGATCAACATTGAATTGAAACCATCTTCCGGTCCTGCCCTTGCTACCATCCACGATCCCACTACCAACATTGATATTGGTAAACAATTGGTATCCGACGGTTTGGTAATGGTGGAAAAACGTGGCGAACGCAAGTTGCGCGAATTGATTGACCAATACAAAGCTGCCCAACAAGCTGCCTTGAATGCTCATTTGGCCATCTGGAAATACGGTGACATTACTCAGGATGATGCGCCCGAATTCAGCCGCTAAACACGCACCCGCCGCCCAGCCCGACGCTCTAATGCTCTGGTGCGCATTTAGCAAAAGTTGAATGTTTGTCTGCCACATACCCGCCCTTTAAAACAACAACAACAACAGTACACGAAAAACAATATAAATCTTCAGTTATATTCAAATTCAAAACATCCCGTTCAACTCAGACGAAGCAAAATCTTAAAGAATATAAATAAATAATGGTAGAGGTCTATAAAACAACAACAACAGCAACAATAATAATATTATTACGGCAAGCTAATATATTTAATCGTGTTTAAATAAAATAAATAACAAGCTTCCAATACATTAAGAAAAATCTAACAACAACAACAAACATGAACACCAACAAGAAAGTAAACTCAGCAATCAATCAACAACAAAAAGAAAACAACAACATTTAAACGATAAATTCCTTTTTTTATACATAAAAAATATTAAACAAAGAAAAACATATTCTAATGGTAGATCTATTACAAGGAACTAAACAATTTTTCAAATTAAAAAAAAAACAACAACAACAAAATATATTAATAATATATACCGCTTTTCTCAAGTTAACTATTATTAAAATATAAAGAAAAAGAAAAAAACAAACAAAAAATAAAAAACAGAACGACTTAATTTTTCTGCTTCAATTTTACTTTTGAGCCTTTTGTGAAATACTTGTTATGTATTTTTCATTCACTGCACTATTCCCCAAAACAAACAAAGAAAAAACAAAACAACATAAAAATCACTGTTTTTTATATATCGCCTTGCGTTTCTTCATTTATTTTTTCTATTTTTTAGAGGATTATGATGTTTGATAAACATTTTTTTATTAAGAAGAATTATAAATATTTCATATATATTTTGTCATTTTTTAAAAGAAAATAATTATTTCAAGGAAAATACACGATGTAATTAAAAATATTGAAAAAGATATATTCGAGTGTTTTATTATCTGGGTTTGTGTTGTCGGGCAGAAGCAGGACGATTTATTTGATTTATAGAAACAAAAGAAAAAAAAATAAATAACGAAGAAAAGCACTTCCCCCTAACATTTGTGGCTCTGAATTTTAGTATAAGAACCTAGCTCGTAGAATGAGCTCATTATGTTTTGTTTTTCTAGTCCCACAGCCATTGCTGAGTCATTTGATTTCAATTGGTATTTTCGACTAGTCCCAAAAAAAATCATAGCTATACAAGGATCTAAGTGATTAGACTGTTCTCTCTACCGGTGGTCAGTTAACTCACGAAACCAATTGTCTTTTCTATGGCTTTAAATTCAGTTGCAATAAAATTCAGCGTTAAACCCATGACTATAAGATCTAAGCAATCATCCATCTATGAATTGGGTCTCGTAGATCTAAGTCTATGTAACTGAAGACCACCTTATTTTCTGTGTAGATTTGAATGTCAGCCATGATCTGGCATATATTATATTGACTCCCATAATGAACCCTTTTTCCCCTTTTTAGGAGTTTTACAATAAATCTGGGTCCAAGATTTGATTATTTTGCTATAACTTCCTAAAAAGTTTAGATAACCTCAGCCGATATAATTTTTACTTTTTGGGGGATTTATAAAAATTTGGGTCGAAGGTAGCCAGGTCCATCCTACAAGCTACTTTCCCGTTTAAAACTTTCACTAAACTAGGTTAATTCCACGCAACTTATTTCCAATTTTAATCACTTTTTATGAAGGAAACCAAACGTTTTTTGGAAAACATTGGGAAAAATCGTGGCAATTGTATTTGAATTTATTTTTGTACAGGTAAATCTTTAAATTTTGTGATTTGATCTCATTAACATACAATGCTGTATTTAGTAACACCGTGGTAAATATAGGTTATACTTTATTTTTCCTTGCTTTTATCCTTTCTAAGTAAATTCACCTTTTTTATTAATTCATCGATGTTAAAATCTTCCGGTATAGCTAAAGCATCCTAGAATACATAAATATATACATAAATTCGAATTAAAAAAATGCAGTAACAACATACCAAACGATCTTGTAGACTTTTCATATTCGCTTCTATGTCCATTGTTGTGGTTTGCATTTGAGCCTCAGACACCAGACGTTTGCTAATGGAAGTTGTAAATCTGTGAAACAAATGAAATAGCTTTGAATTTATTTTTATTTTTTAATTCGCAATCAATACTTCTCCAGAAGATTACATTCCGCTTGTTCTTTTTCCAATTCTTCCTGTTGCTTTTTTATTTCATTTTTCAACTTGGCAATAATTACTTCGTTCTCTACATGTTCCTTCTTCTTTTTGTAGTAAAATGATTTCAAATTTAACAGCGTTAAATCTTGTACATTGGTAACACGTTGTAGTTCCACACAATCGTCCAACAACAAATGAAGATTATCATCCAGATCACACATTTCCAGGCCCACCAATTTCAACTGATATTCATAGTGTTCACCTGTCAGGCAAATGGGAGTAGCAATTGGTTGAACCAGTCCAAGCAAATGCACAAAATTACTTACGTAGTTTCTTTAGCTGGTTTATTTCTTCCGAAAGTAGCAAAGAATCTAAAAGCAACGAAAATATTTGGAAATAGAATTCATAATATTTTTTATTAATAGACAATTACCCATTTTAGTACTGTTAAGATAAAGGAAACGATTTTTAAAATTTTCTTTTTTATATTTTGCAAAGGCGGGCTAATGATAGGGATATATTGGTCGCCTTTGGTTATATATTTCGCTAATGCGGTCATGTCAGGGATATGTAAGTCGACTTTTAACTATTAGTGACCCTGTCACAAAAATGGTAAAAGTATTCTTCTACCATGGGCACTAGCATGGCATAATTACAGAAGGTAGAACGAAGCTACGAAGCAAATTTTCGACGAAATGGGTAACAAATTGCACAATTTTGTGATAAAACTGTATTGTCCAACAATTTTAGATTCAATCTTGTAAAATAACCCCGAAATTCCATTCTTGTTTCGCGGCATTTTTCCCAATATAAGAATTTAAAAAAAAAAATAAAAATAAATAATAAACAGAGTTGCATTTTTCTAGTTTCTTTGAAGTTGAGCAACATTTCTTATTGAGCAATGGTCACTAGCATATAGTGTAGAAAATACCAATAGAATGACCCACACATTTATTAGAAGCGTACAGAACAATTCTTCAATTTACGCTGTACCGCACATGGTACAAGACTACCTTACCTTAAGCCTACTTTACACCGACACCTTGATTTCGCGTTCCTAGCGTATACTCCATGGTAGAAGAATACACGTAGATGCATCAACGCTTAAGAACACTTTAAAATGTTTTGTCAAAAGTAAGTAGATTTTTATACGACACAAATCGGAGGTTTTTTAAAATGCATTTTCAACCATTTTTACTAGTAGACTCATCGACACAGCTGCTGGCACAATGAACTATCACACCATTTTTTGAAAATGAAAGTTTTGAATGAAAAATTAATCAAATTTGTAAAAATTGTTGAAATTCATACTATACGTCCTATAGACGTCGTATACGAAAACATATAAAATCTACTTATATTTGAAAAAAACCTTTTATAATTTTTGACATATCAATGTTTTAAAACACTACACTTGGTACAACTAAATCAAAATAACTTCATTTCAGATAATAATGCCCAGATCTGCATGAGATAATTTTAAAAAAAGCAAACATATGACTTCTTGGCGTTAGTTTGTGACATGGTAGAAGAATATAGGTAGATGCGTCGACACAGCTGCTGGGACAATGAACTGTCAAACCAATTTTGGAATTGAAAATGTTGAATGAAAGATTATTGAAATTTGCAAAAATTTTTGAAAAACTCGAATTATAATAGCCTTCGAATGACGTAGTATAAGAAAACATTCTACTTATATTTGTAAAAACTTTTGAATTTTCTTGACATATCAATGCTCCCAAGCGTTGATGCATCTACATGTATTCTTCTGCCATGGTTTGTGAGAAAAAGGAAGACCATCTCAATTCGCAACAATAAATCCTCTTAATGTAGTTAACCCAACAAAAGGTTCTAACGTAAACATGGCAATAATCTGTCGAAACATTACATGCCGAGAGAAGTGGAACGTTTTTAAATTTGTTTTCAATGCAGAAAAAAATCAGCTGCTCTTTGTTTTTATTATTTCCATTGTTGTTGTTTTCATTAGATAACAAAATCACGTCTGAGATAACAAATATTAACATTTCTCTAATTTTGGCCATAGTGGCAGTGATAACAATTAACTGATTTTGCATAAACATGAGAAGAGTTGCCAGGATTTGTTATGCAAATGCAAACAAGATAAATGGGCTAGGATATACATCCTGTCGCACTGTAGGCACTACTTCGGCTTTAGCAACATTACCAAGGCTCCAAGTGGAATGGGAACAATTGGGAGCTGCTCCTTACTTATCCACACAACAAAAACGTGGATATGTCCCAGACAATATGTCAACGGCCAGCAACTGCTGGAACTGCAAAAAGGACACCACGGACAGAATGTTATGTCAGCATTGTAAACATTTGCAAGATGTCAACACTGAAGTGGTAACTAAGAAACTATTCAAATGTATCTAACTTCTTATAAATTTCTTTCCGCCTTTCTAGAATTATTTTGAATTAATGGACTTTCCCCAAACATTTGCCTTGGAAGCTTCAATGTTGACAAAGCGTTTTCGACAACTTCAGTCATTGGTCCATCCAGATAAATTTACTAACAAGTATAATTACTATTATTTCCGATGAAGCGAATGGAATTATAATAATATGTTTATATTTATGTGTTTTTGCAGAACCTCACGTGAACAATCCAATTCAGCCGACTGGAGTTCTTTGATAAACAAAGCATACAAAACTCTATTGATACCTATAGAACGTGGCCAATATCTTTTAAAATTGCACGGTCGTCAAATTCCTCAGGACAATAGCGCTTTAGATAAAGAATTTCTAATGGAAATGATGGAACGCAACGAGGAGGTTGATGAGGCAAATACAAAGCAAGAACTGGAAGATATTCACGAGAGTTTAACGAAAGAACTAGAAGAAAAAGTAAAGCATTTGAGTAAACATTTCGCGGGCAATAATTTGGAAGAAGCAACTGCTGTAATGGTGGAAATGAAATATTTGCTGAGCATACAAAAAACGATTAAAAATAAATTGCAATCGCTGATGGGCAGTTGAGTTTTTAAATGGCTAAATATTAATGCTAGCAATTTTAAAAGATAACTATAATGTTAAATATATATGTATATTTAAATATGTATCTTTATATTTTATCCTATAACAAATTATAGTATAAACAACTTTATACGTTAAATTGTAAATTTGTCTTCTTCATGTATGTTATGCACGGCACATAAATGTACAATGGTATTGTGTATTAATAGGAGAACTGCATCGGATTTAATTTCCCAGCTTGGATTTTGTGTGTGTGTTTTTATCTCGATTATGTTCCACCTGATCATTGCATCATCACTTAAACAGGAAAATGTATGCAGGGATTCGGTCCTCTCTAAAACTCCTACATTTAAGATGGAAGTTATTGTTTGGCACTTCGAATCAGCCGATTGTGCAATTATTAATATTTTCGCAATAACAAGACAAATTATTTTTATTACTAAATAAGGAAATGGTACTGGTTGATCTTGATATTTGTGTCCAGATAGTTTAAAATTCTATCTTTCCATCTAGTTTCAAAATTCAATCTCGTGCCAACTGTTTACAATTCCATCTTTCCATTCAGATTCTAAATTCCATCTCATGTCAACTGTCGTGGCAAAGGCTTCTTGGAGACAGCGCATATCGTTAAGTCTAATCGACTCATATGTCAGTTGGCTAGGAGAAAAAATTGAGCATCTCTATCTCCCATGTCTGAAAAGCAGACGCTTAATCGTATCCGTCTTTTTTTCATCCCCAATCAGTCTTTAATAGCCAGGACCATTGCAATTAAATTTAAAAATTAGACTGGACACCTGCTTATTATGCAACTTAATATATTTAGCTCCAACTTACTAAGAGGTGAAAGATGACATGTTCTTCGTCTCGGGGTTTCTGGTTAGATAGAATTTTATCAAAACTATAAATGATAATTGTATCCATGGTACAATGAAGAGAAGGTAGGGCAAGTTTGAAAAAATTGCAAGTATAAAGGTCTACCTGTTTGGCTTGTAATGTCAGAATTAGTATCAAAACAATAACAAATCAAACAACTTGTTGCATTTATTTTGAATAAATAATTGAAAACCGCGATAACTGAATGAAAGGTCAACACTTCTTTTCAAAATCATGTACTATATATTTCTAAAGGATTATTTCGCTACAAAAAGTCTAGATTTTGTCGATGCATACGTTGAAATAAACGTATTGAAAACACACGAATTTGAATCTTTTCTGAACAATTTTTTTTATTGAAAAGAAAACACATACATAAACAAATAAATATGACATATTAAGCCAAGAAAATAAAAAAATTAGAATCATATGGTTTCATAGCCCTACCTTGATATCATTGTACCATGATTGTATCTAAAAGAAAAGAATTGTTGTTTCCTGCTTAACAACATAAAACATTTGCATATATATACATATATATATATATATATATATATATATATATATATATATATATATATATATATATATATATATATATATATATATATATATATATATATATATATATATATATATATATATATATATCAGAGTAATCAGCGATGAATCCATCGAGATATCATAATTAGAAGGTCGGTATTCATAATATTGGAAATCAGCATAGAAAGCTTGACCTTACATAGAAATAGAGCTGCCACAATGTCACAACCATTTCGATCATTTTTTTGCCATTTGCAATGTTAGTAGTTATCTCCTCCAAAGCTGTGGGTGAGCCATGAAACCATGTTATTTGAACTTCGACTCGAATTTTATTTGAAGCAAAAGCTTGTACCGCGATTTCAATATGAAAGATATTTCACCTCACTTTCGGCCCCCAACAAAATGTAACAACAAATTAGAATAGTCGCAGAGAAATCAGCTGTTTTTGACAACGTCAAATTTATACCCACTCTATCTCTCTCTTCCCTCCAAATTAATGGTTTTTGTTGTTATTCCACTACCATTATATTTGCATTGTACTTGCTGCAAAGCGTCTGTCTTGTTCTCGTTTCGTCGTCTCTGTAATCGGTGTTTCTATAAAGAGTTGTTCTGCCTTTTTCTTCGTTTCAATTCACGTGTAAGCCATCGGTTCCATTCAAAAGTACATTCCGTCGAGGGGGAATTTTTTAGTTTTAAGATAAACAATTCCGTTACATTTACAATTACGCGGGTGTTTTTCAAGTAAGTACCTCTGTTGTTGTTAGCCAGGTATTAGAAAAAAACAGTGTTAGAAGAAATTCAATTAAATACCAGTTAGTGGTGTGTTGTTTTGCTATGTGTGTCAGTTTTCAATGTCAGCTGTCGTTGCTGCCATTGCACTCTCCGTGTAAATGTTGTTTTTGTTTTGTGATAACAACACACACAAATTTGTGGGAGTCTTAAGAAATTTGTTTGTGTAGTGCATGAAGCGCTTTTGAAGTGATAATTAAAATCTTATGAAGTGTTAAATCAAAAATAAATTTCTACCCAAATAGTTGAACCATAAACTAGAAGAGTTAAAAACTGGTTAAAAATCTAAAGATAATTAAAGAAATATTTACATCTGTGCCCTTATCAGCTGAGTGAATTATTTGTAATTTACACAGCGTATTACTGGCTTTTCTGAATGCAAGAAGGGCTAGGTTTTTTTTAAACCGTTACACTTATGGGTTTGAAATTGATACCTGCTGATATCTGAAATAGATAAATTCATTATATATGAAATGTTAAAAGTTTTTCTGAAAGCAAAGAAATATAAGAAATATAAATGCTTGTGAAATAAGGAAAGATATGTTGTTGTTAAACCATCCACCATACAAAGAGTTTACATAAAGTTTGTCATTCTGTTTCTAACTCCTCGAAAGAGCTATCACAGACCCTAAGTATTTATATTGCTGGTCTGTAGCGTTGTAGGGTATAACATGGTCGGTCCCGCACGACTATAGCCTTTGCTTACTTGTTATATTATATATATTAAAAAACTTTATGGGTTTTGTCGTACAGGAATACATTTTATACACTTTATCTAGTGGTGATATAAATATTGAAATTTGTAGAAGGTATAAAAAGGCGTAGTTACTAATGAGTTATTCAGAAGAAATCCTGGAAAGATTTTTTAAATCTTTAATTATGTATCAGTCGTTTACTAACTTTTTATTTTACATTTTCATAGAACAAGAATCTAGCCGCAATTGTGACGTCAATTTCCCTATAGGACAGCACATATAATCAACTATGTATCTCATATTAGCAACAACGACTTACCTTAAAGTATTGCTTTGCTTTCAATAACTTGGAAACAAATCCTAAAAGACCTCCCCCGTGACCAATAGAGTTCTGCGCTCCAAAGTTGGTTTTTCAAAAAATGCAATTATTTATTATGCCATTTAACGAAATGTGCTAATTTTACAAAAAAACATTTTTGTTGTAGTTATACATTAGTGGTGGATTATAACTCGATTGGAATAAACGTGTGTTGGATCTTGGGCTTAATACTGTCACAACAGATAACAACGGAGAAATATCAATGCAAACTATGCGCCTTAGGCATGTGGCGACTTTAGACGTTGAGTTATATAGGTGAAACTTTTCGATAGTGGTATGGCAATTGAATCACTGGCGCCATGATCCCCCAGGCGTATAGATTCCAACTGGGGCAAAGTATTCAAAACTGTTGGGGGTGGTATAACAACAGTATAGTGGGTATCTGGGGTGTCCACAGTATAGTAGGTTGTATCGATGTTTGCGGTGTTGGGCAACTGCAGAGGTTCATCCAGGGCAAGGGTGTGAAGGACGCCATTATCCAAACCATTGCTGAGGCCAAGATTTCCGTTAAGCAAAGTATGTCCATTTGAATTGAGATTTAGGGTTTGCAAATTTCCGTTGCCATTGGATAGATTTCCCTTGCCATTAAGTTTTCCATTGATGGAATTGCCATTTGTTTTGCCGTTTCCATTGCTATGCCCGTTTCCATTGCTATGACCATTTCCATTGCTATGACCATTTCCATTTGTTTTGCCATTTCCATTAATGTGACCATTTCCATTACCATTTCCACTGCTATGATGACCGTTTCCATTGCCATGACCATTTCCATTGCTATGAACATTTCCGTTTCCGTTTCCATTGCTATTGCCACGTCCATTTCCATTGCTATGACCATTTCCATTGCCATTTTCTTTTCCATTACCGCTGGCCTTGCCATTTCGTCCATTTCCATTATCCTCGCCACCATTTCTCAATTCCGAACTGGATGCTCCTGAACCCAAGGCATGAGCCTCAGCCTTGGCGGTTAAAATATATGTTGTTATCAATTGCTGTTGTTGCTGATGTCCAATTTCTTGACCAACTCTTTCCAATTCCGAAGAAGAAGCCGAGGAGGCGGAAGAACGTCTTGGTGTCAATAGCTGTTTTCGGGATTTTTGCTTGTTGAGTAACATTTCGCGGGTGTTCTGCTGCAGCTCATCCAATTGTAAGCCATTTAGCTCGTTTTCAGACGAGCCATTTCCATTGGACTCTTCAGTATCAGGGGCCAATGCAGCCATTAAAGCTGCTTCCCGATAAGCCTCAAAATGGGCCTGTCTTGCCTGTTCAACTTCGGGAGTATCGGTGACTGGCTCTGGGGCCCGATTAAGATCTATAATATTCTCCATAGTGCTGGTTTCCAATACTCCACCATTGTTGCCATTTGAAGCTAATTCCTGTTGTTGCTGCTGCTGCTGTTGTTGTTGTAGACCATTTGCTTCACCACCCTGCATCAGTTGTTCGCCAGCTGGCATATTATCGCCATTATGTATTATTGTATAAAATCCATTTGGATGCTGTTCAATTCCATGTCCTGTCTGGGCCAAATCACCATTTAAAGTGATCAAATGTGATGGAAAATGATTGCGCGATGCGGTCACTATTGTGATGATAACACAAACAATTATGATTTTCATGATTTTCTTTAGATTATCCTCCGTTCTTTGTGATATCCCAGATGCTGTGGCTCTATGCAAAGTTAGAATGTTTTTGATGTTGAATTGTCTGGGGCAGCTGCATTTTATAGTCAGCCCCAGTGGTTCTCAAAAATGTAACATATTTTCTTACAAATGGCCCAGAATTGTCTCTCAAGTGTGGCCAGTAGTGAGTGACCAGTTTTGATGGCAGCTCCCAAAAAAAAAGACGACTTCTTGCTTGACCTCGAGACTGGCGCCTGCCCTTCTGTATTACTGTCAAATTGGTAAGTGATATCAAAAGCCTACCATCCAGTCAGTGGTACAAGCAACCAACGACATGTTGACGGTGTCTGTATTGTACTTCATGGTCTACGTGGTGTCATCGCAATGAAGGTGAGAAAATCTTCTATGGTCGCCCAGTTTAAGATATTTTATTACCTCTTGTTGTGATTTTCAAAGTATGTCAATAATAATAATGAAAAGTCTTTGTATCAAATACCGGTTTTTGCTAAGTGAGAAGATAGATTTATCGAATTTTTTTAAAAGATGTCTTACTTGTTAACTTGACGTGGCCTATTTAAAGTTTGGTAGGAGCTATTTAAAAGCAGAAGTAGGATTGATATTCAATAAAATTTACTCAGTAAATTATTCTGAGAGAAATTCCTATCTCATGTACAATTATTGCAAAGGGTTATCGTACGTTTAGTAAATCCAGCAAAGAAAAAGCTGTTTTACAAAATCTTTTTTACTCCATATCAGTTAACAATTGTTTCCAAATGTTACTGGACGTTGTATGTTGCCTCAAGTCCTTTAAAAGAGAGCAAATATGAAAGGAAAGAAATTAAAACACCGTAATATTAGAATTTTACCGAAGTAGTCGTGGACGGTATATTTTTATTTATAATTGTTACAGAAATAATATAATTATATTTTTTGCAGGTTTGCTTTCTTCTCGTGAACTAACGAGGGGGTGATTTTAACGAATTAAAAGGCTAAGATGTCGCAGAGCCGCGCTTAAAAAGCCTATTCGTTACATTTTCTTACTGCGTTTGTCTAAGAAGTAAGCAAAAACGAACAAAAAGGGTAGGGGATTTTAAACGAAAGGATGAAAAAATCCCAGGGAAAATTATAAATCAAATAAATGAAAATCATGTAGAGGAAAGAAAGTTTAGCATTAGAATCCCAAACTCTGTACTGATTTTAACCTACAAACCAAATAATATCAAGTCCAGTTGGACCAGGCGGACAGCATAACAAAATGTTTGGAAGTGTTTGCAACAAATTCGGAAAAAGTGCTATGGATCTTCCTATCTTGCCGAGCTGAGTCGATCTATCTATGATGGATATCCGTCCGTCCGTCCATCTGTACATGTTAATTTGTAATCAAGCTACAGGTCGCCACTATGGCCCGATCCTCATGAAATTGAAAATGCAGGTGGGGTTAGGATTAGAATAGAAGCCTATTATTTTAGGAGATGATCGCAAAATGTTAAGGGGTTGAAATGGGCCAAAAACAGAAAATTGTCCTGATTTTATTGTTGCTCTATAGACCAATCGACGCGAAATTTTGCATGGAGTTAGAGTTTAGGGCTGGGCAGAAGCCTATCAATTTGGACGGTCATCAATATTTAGCCGGTAAAATAAACCTTAACTTTTATGTGAAAAAAATACGAAAATTTCCAACAAAACGCGAATATTTTTAATCCCGGCGAAATCAAAAATACATTAAAAGGTCACTTCTGACTATTGCAGTGATGCTGATAACCAAAATATCGGCTATGCATAAAGCATAATAGTTACAATCTATATGTAAAATAAATTGATTTTAGTTGCTCCGCTTATAAGGATAAAATCTGAGAAAATCGCTTAAAATTTTGAAAATTTGAAGAAAAATTTGCAATTATAGTCCGATTCTTAGGAAAGTAGGGTCAGGGTCAGTAGGAAACCCTATTGTTATGGAGATATAGGCTTCAATAAACCAAAAAAGAAATAGAAAATTTACTGATTTTGCAGTCGCCCTACAGGTCGGTCTACAGGCGTTTGTATGACCATTGGTTTATATTTAGCTGTAAAATAGAGCACAACTTTTGGAAGTGTAAACTTTCTTTTAGTTCTACTTTGATAATCTGCTGGATTTTTGCTGTAAGTATTTTTATACCCTCCACCATAGTATGGAGGGTATATTAAATTTTTCATTCCGTGTGTAACACCTCAAAGTATACATTTTAGAACCCACAAAGTATATATTCTATGCCGATTTAGCGATGCCCGTCCGTCTTTCCATCTCTAGCTTCCGAAGGAAATGAAGTAGGTTGATAAAATTTTACTCAAATATATGTTATGTCCGCAGGACTTTTGGTATTGAAAATGGGCCATGTAGGTCCAAGTTTTGGTATTTTGAAGGTTTTAGCGACATTATTCACCGGAATTGTTTCAAATTTGGTATTTGAAGTTCGTAATGGATACTACAGCCTATGACAGGAGATTGTCTGTGCAGGTCCACGTCTTTGTATAGCTTCCATATAACGGTACCTTCCGATATTCGGTATTTTTCTGATTTTTACGATATTATTTGCCGGAATTGTTTCAAATGTGGTATTTGAAGTTCGTAATGGATACCAAAGCCAAAGGCAGAAAATTATCCGAGCAGGTCCACGTTTTCATATAGCCCCCATATAATGGTACCTCCTGATATTCGGTAGTTTGAAGATTTTAACGACATTATTCACCGGAATTGTTTCAAATTTGGTATTTGAAGTTCGTAATGGATACTACAGCCTATGACAGAAAATTGTCTGTGCAGGTCCACGTCTTCGCATAAAACCTATTAAAACGGCTACAGATTTAAGATTTTAACAGAAATTTTAACGGATTTTATTTTTTTGAAAATAGCCAAATCCGTTCCAAATGGTGGAGGGTATTTAAAGTCCGGCCGGGCTGAACTTACTGTTTTTTTACTTGTTTGTGTTGTGCAGTGTAATAAAGCTTCGTCTGTGCCTTTCATTTCGTTAGAAATAATTTTAATAGGTTCCGGAACCGAGAAGAATTTTCAGAAATATTTTCGATAGTCATTTCAAATTTTTGTGGAAGTTGTATGTAGAATATTCTCTAGTTTCATAAGAGCATGCATTTTTCGCCATCTACTTTATCAGTTCTGCAGGAATCTCATCAGATCTACAGCTATTTTATCTTTCAATGTATTAACTGATGTTTTATTCTTTCCAATATAAATTTCAGAATACGCCTCATTATTATTATTTTTTTTCAATAATTTCGAATTGCTGTGATAATCCATATTGTATATTTGCGAATGGTACTTTACCGGCAAATCACAACAACTACAACAAAAGAGTACAATAAGCTATTGGAACGCACAATGACGTTTTAGCAAAACAAGAATAAATGCAAAATTTTAAATGCTTCGAACACACACATCCAGGCAAACACATTTTCATACAACATTTTTTTAAATGAAAACAAATAATTTGATTCATTGACCAGCGTGCGGAGTAATTTAAGAATTTTTAGTTGTGCATTTTCATTTCAAAGCTCTTCACTGTTTAGCCCGTGCTGGATCGTCTGGTATATGTTATCTGCTTTTTCGATTGCTGTGTTTTTGTTTGTATTGTATTTTTCAGCGTGCTGTTGAAGCGTTAAGCAAAACATTTTCGTTTTGTTTTGGCTTTAGTAGTTGTTTAGTTTGCCACCTGACCACACAATTTTCCGCTAAGTGATCGTGACGACGACGTTAATAGCCATGGACAACTGCAGCAGATCGCTTACGATGGCTACGTGCTGTTTGGGACTTTTCTTGGCATGCGTAACCCTACAGCCGACCCTAGCCAGTGGTCGTTTAATTAAATACACAAACCGGGATATTAATGACAGTCCTTTGGTCAATTTGGACAATGAGAATCCTACACCGATTGTTGGTATCCTGTCGCAGGAGGTGTCGCAATTTGTTCTACGCAAATATCCAAATAGTACATTTTCCAGTTATATAGCGGCATCCTATGTGAAATTTGTTGAGGGAGCTGGGGGTCGTGTTGTGCCCATATGGTAAGTAGCGAAGAAAAAGAATTAAAAAATAAAAAAGTAAAGAAAAAATATATATAAAAAGCGTGCTTATAGTTAATTATAATACGATCGATTCCATATAAGAGCAATTTATTTATTTAGGCAAATTTTGGTGAATTATAAAAATTTGGTGAATTATAAAATGCAGCAGGTGTGCCTTAGTATAGAGTACTTCACTCCACACACTCAACCAGAACCATTGATCAAAGAGTTACAAAATATACAGTTCTTGAAATTTGTAATCAGAGAGTAACACAATTGGAAGAACAAAAAGTCTGACTCTATACCCGGCCATGATAAAAAAAATGCTTTATGGGTGAATTTTTATGGCCGGGTAAATCAAAATAATACCTCTTGTTAGAAACCTCCACATCGAATGAACAAAGGACGAACAGGGCCATAACTGTGGACTTTGAAATTATATTTTGAAAACAAATAGGGCAATAATTAATTACCTTCGATTTTTTAATGATTTTTCATGAGTTGATGAATTTTCCAGGGAGCAATATAGTAATAATGGATTTTTAAAATAAATTTTTAAGCATCATCAGAACAATAATAGAGGGTTATTTTAAAATAATTTTCCAAATTCTCTCAGAACCATAATTGTGGATTTATTTTCCAATAATATTCAGAACTGTAATGATCGCCGTCCCAAGGATTTTTCAAAATGGACTTTTAGATCTTTATTCGATTTTTAAGAAAGGGTTATATTTTTAATTTTTTAAAAATATTTTCTCAGGAGTATGTATTTGGCTTTTATTAGTGATTTTTATATTTTTTGTTTTTGAAACTTATAATCCTGGATTTTCGTGGAATATATTCCCAATCACATTAAGACCTGTATTTCGTGGAACTTTTAAAAAATATTTTACAGAGGATTTATAGAACTATAATCGTGGATATTAAAAAAAATCAAAGGATTTTAAGACCTATAACCCTGCATTTTTTAGAAAATTTTTTTTCACACCTATATTCGAGGAATTTTCACAAATATTTGTCAAAGCAATTTCAGATTTATAATCGTGGATTCTTTAAGCATGATTTCCTAAGGACTTGACCTAAGACCCATATTGATGGATTCTTAATGAATATTTTCCAAGGAATCTGAGACCTATAAAAGTAAGAGATGTTTATGGACAGAAGGTGTACATTAGGTATTAAGGTTTTTTATGGCCTTTCCAATTGCTCAGTGGATTCAAACCACCCCTTGCGAAAATACGACAAAAATATAATTTATATTAACTTATACTTCTCCTAACCTGCATCCATTTTGCATTTATGCACAAGCGACTGTACTTACTTTAAAGAAATGAATAAAAACAAGAAACCAGAATGACTTGTGGTTTGGAAGCAACAAAACGAAAAACAACTGCATTATAAAAGAAGCTACAAATTATTCGACACGATTTCGAAGTGCAAACAAAAAAATTGCCACTTGTTGCGTTTAGATAATGGTTCCCGATACCGGACTTGATTTTTAATTTTGTAACAAAAGATTTTTGAATTAAAAAAAAAACTTTCCATTACCTATGAGAATTTTATTGAATAATACTACACAGTTGAAATTTGTTTTCAATTTTAAGTCTAATTATTGAAGCGAGTTTGAAACTATTTTACACTGGACAACGTAAAAAAAAATTAATGAAAAAATTTCTATGTGTCTTCTACTTTAAAATTGAGAGTAGGTCATATAAATTGAGAGTAAGTCATAATTTTCTAGCAGAGAGACCATCTGCAGATCATCTAAATTAGTTGCCAAGTGTAACAATAACTCATAACCATTTCAAAATAATGCCACAACAAAATTCACTTAAGATGCTTGCAATTTCGAGTACAAAAAAAAAAAAAAAAAAAAACAGATTAACGATTTCATTTTTAATTCTTTGACGTAATGTCTCAATTAAAATTAGATTCCGGATAGACCAGACGTAACACTTGAAGTAGTTGGTGTAAAAACTGAGGCCGTTGGCAAATAAATTATTAATTTTTTGTTGTTGTAAATGTTGTTAAGTGAATATCGAAATAAATGTTTTATTATACTTGTGTCTGTGTTTTATGTTATCACGATTACCCGTCTGCCTCTTTCTCTTTGAAGAGATATAGCCGACTTGAAAACAGTTATCAATGTCGTAAACATTATTTAAATCCCCAACTGATATTGATATAGTGAGAATGAATTTATGTTATGGTTATCTTTTTCCAAACTTGAGCTACTTGAGATAACTCAAGGAAAGTGATGTTTTGGTTTTGTCATAACCCAGCAAACATTTTTTGGTTCATAAAAAGTGTAAAATAAATTAATATATTTTCTTTTTTTTTAGGATTGGTAAACCCAGAGAATACTATGAAGATATTCTGTCGAAGATTAATGGGTAAGTTCTCGAATTTTTTTTTAATTAAATAATATTAAATAATAAGTTAAATTTATCTGGGCCGAACTTATTATACCCTTTAAAATTTAGAAATTGCAGAATTCAAGGGGTATGCGTCACTTTTGTTATAAGGAACATCTTATGCAAATTTCGAACAATTTTGTAAAAATGTTGGCTACAATCATCAAAATACAGAATATCGGAAGGATAGAAAAACCTTGACTCATTTAGAGATTGTTCTATATAAGCAGAAGAACACATCTCGGAATCCAAATACTTACTCCTATGGTACAATAAAAGGGTAAGGTAGAGCTAACAGCTGATTACAATTTTTTTCTAAGTGTGCCCGACTTCTGCCAATTTTGTGTATGTATTAATTGTTTTGAAAAATGAAAAAAAAATATTTTCAAAACCAATGATTGGATTGGATTTTGAGAGAAAATCCAGACATTTTATTAATTTTTCGCGCTATTTAATTAATTTAATTCATTTTAAAAATTAGGAAAAATATAAAAAAAAATTAAAACAATGATTTTGAATGAGTCTGACAGGAAGCGGGTATAGCCTCAGGGCTGTATTTTTGTAGATTTACGAAGCTGTTCTACCTCCTTATTGTACCATGCTTACTCCCAAGTATTTCACTTAGAAAATCAGTCAAAGTACAAACTAATCGGGAAGTATATTTATATTGGAGCTATATGAAAACGTGGACTTTTGTAGACACTATTCTGTCACTTGAGGTAGAAACCGTTACAAACTCAAAATAGCGAGTTTAAAAATATTCCGCTAGAAAATGTAGCTAAAATCGTCAAAACTTCAAATATCGGGAGGTAATAATATATCGGGACTATACGAAAATGTGGACTTGTATAGACAATGTTCAGCTACAGGGAATAGACTTCATTTTGAACTATAAATTCCAAATTTTAATCTATTCCGCTAGTAACTGAGGCTAAACTCATCAAAATATCGAATATTGGAAGGTAGAATTACGTAAAAGTGGATCTATATAGAACAAGTAAACAAGAAGTAAGTTCGGCCGGCCGAATTTTAAATACCGTCCACCATTCGAAACGAATTTGGAATTAAAAAAAAATAAAATCCGTTACAAATTCTGTTTAAATCTTAAAAATGCCGAATATAACCATTATATTGGTGTTTATACGAAGACGTGGACCTGCATAGGCTACTCATAAGCCATTATAATATTCAAATACGAAACTTGAAAATTCGGGGAATAATATAGCTAATATCATCCAAATACCGAATATGGGGAGGTACCGTTATATCGGGGCTATACGAAGACCTGGACCTGCATATACAATTTTGTCATCTGCATGCGCAATTTTCTGTCACTTACTGTAGTACCCATTACCATTAATTCTTAATACGAAACTTGAAACAACTCCGGTAAATAATGTCTCTAAAATCGTTGAAATATTGAATATTGGGAGGAACCGTTATATGGAGGCTACACAAAGACGTGGGTCTGCATACGCAATTTTTTGTCATATGCTGCAGTAGCCATTACCAACTCTAAATACGAAATTTGAAACGATTGCGGTGAATAATATCCTTAAAATCGTCAAAATGTCGAATATCGGGGGTACGGTTGTGTGTGGGCTATACGATATCGTGGGCCTATATAGACATTTCTCTTCCAGTGCTTAGAAAGAGGTTCTATTATGGATTTTTAAACAATTCCATTGAAAAATGTAGCTAAAATCATTAAAATACCGAATGTCGGGAGTTACAGTTATTTGAAGGACATACGATATCGGGAACCTATCTGGACAATGCTCTCCCAGGGGGTAAAGTACTCAAAAGGAACTCCTTTTGTGGATTTTCAGACATAATGTGGGGGCTATAAGGACCTCCATACTATGTATGATAGAGGGTATACAAAGTTCTTCCACAGAAGGAAGAACCCATTACAAACTCTGAATACCAAATTTAAAAGTATATCGTTAGAAAGTTTGACTAAAATCGTCGAAATTCCGAATATCGGGGGGTACATTTATATAGGGGCTATACGAAAACGTGGGCCTATGTCGACAATATTGGGTCACATGAGTTCTACCCAATTGCAAACACTAAATACCTAATTTTAAACTATTTCGTTAGAGAGTGTGTCTAAAACCGTCGAAATACCGAATACCGGTGGTACCATTATATGGGGGCTATACGATATCGTGGACCGATATAGTCCATCTTCGAACTTGACCTGTCTTCAGACAAAAGACCTATCAGTGCAAAATTGTAGTTTCATATCTCTATTCGTTTCGACTCTAGCTTGATTACAACAGACGGACGGACGGACGGCAAGTATAAATCGTCATAGATTTTATCTTGATCCACGATAGAAAACATTTTTTTTAGGAAAATGTATAATCTATTTACATTTAAAAATATATTTAAAAATTCCATTCTTTCTATTTCTTATAGAGTCCTTTTGCCTGGCGGTGCTACCTATTTTAACCAATCGAATGGTTATGCCGATGCTGGTCGACACATCTATGAGATTGCCATGAAAATCAACGATGGGGGTACATATTTTCCCGTGTGGGGTACATGCTTGGGTTTTGAGCTATTGGTTTATCTATCGGCCAATGGTACGGAGCCGCGTACCTATTGTTCATCGTCTGCCCAACCATTGCCATTGGAGTTTAAGGAAGGTTTGTAAAATGTTAAAAAATATATATAAACATGTATAAATAAATTGTTTTCTTTTGGTTTTTAGATTTCAAAGATTCCCGAATGTTCCGAAATGCCAGCTCAGATGTTATAGAGATTTTGAAGAGCTATCCGGTCACAGCTAACTTTCATATGTACTGTTTCACCGAAGAAGTAAGTCACTCTCACTAAACCAATTGTTTTTTTCCCACAGAGTTTGAATTTATGTGTACCAAAAGAAAGGCTCTTAAAAAGGGTTTTTTGAAAGTGTGAGAAAAAATTCAAGTTTTCCTTATATACCTCCAGTCAATTTGTATCAAACATAACATTTACAAATTATATTCTGGGCTAATACAGGGTGAGATAAAAAAAACTGCAACAAAGGCAAACGCCATAATTTTTATTTTTTGTATAATTTTTAAAAATTTCGGAAATATTTTCAAATTTTAGAACAATTTTATATTTGTTCGAATTGATCACCTTTGACACGAATTATGACCTTCAAATGGCCAATGAAACCGTCATACGCTGCCCGAATATTGCTCTGCGGTATTTTGGCCCATTCCCGGCGAAGTGTTGGCTTGAGGTGATCGACATTTTGGTATTTTTCAGTGCATAGCTTGCTTTCCAAAATACTCCAGACACAAAAGTTCAACGGATTGGTATCCGGAGATTTTGGTGTCCATTGTGCGCTGGAAATGAAGCAAGGAATCTAATTTTGTAACCATCCTTGGGTGGCGCGTGCTGAGTGCGAGTCCTGTTGGAATGTCCAAGGTCTGCGGCCAAAATGTTTGCGTGCCCAAGGCTTTAATACACCCTACAGAATATTTTCGCGATAATATTTGTCATTTATTCTGATGCCACGGTCGATTAATACAAGCGCAGATCCACCATCGGCTGTTTGGCGGCCCAAACCATCACCATGGCCGGCGCTTGAGTTCTGGTGGCCAACCGAAGGTGCACATTTTCAGTCGACCTCTTTGGCAAGTAAACACGACCATTTTGCTTGTTTACGAACTGCTGGACAAAGAATGTTTTCTAATCGGAGAAAACCAAATTCGGCAGTTCACCACTCTCGGCCAAGCGAAGCAACTCTTTAACTCTTTTGAGTCTATTTTCTTTCTATTGCGTTGTAAGTTCTTGCACTTTTTGGAATTTCAATGACTTTATCCCGATCTCATTTTCAATATTTGCTGAATGGAATATTGCGATATGTTCTGCTCACGAGCCATTTTCGGCCACTGCGACGCGGGTTTCGATCACAAAAGATTTATTCACATTTAAATGCTGGGGTGCTCTAACGAAAGCCACTTGTGGTTTTCCAGCCAAATATAAAGAAATCACACTATCACGCTTGAATTCCATTACGAATAACTTTTTTTCTTGAAAATTCTCACCAAAATGCTTTTGTATACTTGTAAACAATATAATGAGCTGTCACTGGAATTATTTTAAGAGCTATCGGACGAATGGTTTGAAAATTACAGCAGTCTGGATTTTGTTACTGTTTTTTCATATCTCTATGCAAGTAATACAATGAATGCGATAGAAGAATACCAATTCCAATTAATTCAAATTTGAAAATTGTAAAAAATGCTTGTAGAATTGGTGTTCTTCTTTCGATATACATAAACAGACTGCAAGTAAATGTTTGCATTAGAGCTTTTTGCCGGGTTATTCTATTTTATGAAGATCTATTTGAGGTATATGCAATGGAATTGACAATTAAAATCGACAGGTTTCTCTAAATCCATTACAACGTAAATGTATTATAAGTCTTTCATAAAGACCCAGTTTAGAAGCCAAATGTTGTAATGGGGATAACACGTAATCGAGAATTATGTCTGCTTATTCATTTTATGTTCCACATAAGTGTACTCACTTCTCTCATATTTATCTTACATTTACAAAATCACTAATACCAATTTCCCAGCCCTTGAGAAATCTACCTTGACAGTGCCAACATCATATTCCATGGAAGTATTTTAATGTACCGATATCTCTTCCACCCCTGAGAGCTGAGAGAGGAGTAATACCCAAAATGGAGTTGTTCATTTTATATTGCTTACAATTCAATTATTGCCAAGCAAAAAAAAAAAAAAAAACTGAACGCCATTAGAATAAAATTTCGTGTCATACGAATATGTGTTTCGCTTTCAATTCATTTTTGCTTTGCTTCTTTCTTGTCTTATACATTTTTAATCTAAATTACATTACAGTTCCATTAATAAACCATGTCTTTCGTTCTTTTCCCTGTAGACATTTGCCACTATGAAATTGGATAGTATGTGGAAGGTGATGAGTCTTAATCACGACTGGGATGGCAGTGAATTTATATCCACCATTGAGCATAAAAAGTAAGCACAAGCCTAAAAGTATGCTAATCAATTATTAAAGCAATTTTCGATTTGTTGCATAAATTCTCATTTCCTTGTATCGCTCTTCCTTATTTTCTTTTTTTTTTGGCTTGGCAGATATCCATTTTATGGCGTACAATTTCATCCCGAAAAAAATCTTTACGAATTTGTACCAAATCGTAACATAACCCACACTACCCTTGCCATAAGAACCTCGCAATATTTTGCCGATTTTTTTGTGGGCGAAACACGCCGTAATCGTCAATATTTCCCCAACGAAACCGAGGAAATGGAAGCGCTAATCTATAATTATTCACCCAAATACACGGGAGCTATTGGTTCATCGTTTATGCAGCAATACCTGTTCGATGAAAAGACCATTGGGGATGGTAAGGGCGATGGTGCGGAACGAGCAAGTGCCTCATTGCTGCTAAGTTTGATTAGCGTGTTTGTAATTTACCGTTTTTGGTTATGATTTAAAAGAAGCGCGGTCGACAGAGGTAACGCAAATAACACGAAGAAAACGTGTTAAACGTGCCTAAGCGATAAATTCCGGTGCTATGTAATACTATAGCATACCAATCATGTAATTATTGAGATTATTTGCATTTCATTGTTATTTTTATATAAGTAGCGGCTAAAATAAATGTAAAAGTAATTTGAATCGATCTAAGATAAAATGGAAATAGAACAATGTATTTCAAAGGTATTATACATTTTTGAGGTTTTTTTTTGTTGGGGTAAGGCTATGGGGAATGATTTCTGTAGACAGAAGCACTCTACGGGCAGAAGGCCTTTTAATGGTATTCTACGGATAGAACCCCTTTACAGGGAGTATTCCATTGTAGGAAAGATCGTTGAGGTTTCGTTCAAAGCCAAATGATTTTGATGGTTCTTTTGCAGAGAGAAGAAGAAAATATCTTTTTAAAGGTCATATGCCGAGGGAAAGCTTTTATAAAAGAAAAAAATGTCCAATGATAAATTTTATGAAGAAACCATTTGTCATTCTTTTTTCTTAGATCCAAAATCCAGTCCCTGGTAGATGATGTGGAAATTGGTCATTTGTGTGAAAGCCCAACTTTAAATTATTTATATCTGTTACGAATTTCAATTTTCCATCCCCGAAAAATGGTAGAAATTTAAAGCATAACTTAAGGAGTTCTGGGTGGTAAAGGGAGTACTATTAATCTGGTACAAACTTAGTGGCAATATTATTTTTATACCCTCAGCCATATGATTAGAGAGAGAGAGTATATATCATTTGATACGGCCAAAACATGCCTCATCGAGAGAACGGTTTTAGACCCGAGTTCTCTTTGGACCAAATTCGTTTCAGGACATTTGGAGTCGATCTAGCGATGTCCGCCCGTCTGGCTGGTTCACACGATAACTCGTAAAATTATTGCCAAACTTAGATCTAGTTCGGAGATGGGCAATATCGGTCCACTTCATCTGGTACCTCCATCACAAAAGTGTCAAAATTTTGAATATCCACGAAGTTCATAAAATGCGAAATTAATGTCTAATTCCATTCAGACTTGGCATATTTCAATATTTTTATCAGCACAAGATCTAATTGAACCATTTCTTCTAGTACCTCCCCACATAGGTTTCAAGATTTTCAAAAGATGCTCAAAAGAAAGAGAAATTAGCATCCAACTCTCTTCAAATTTCACACACACACACACAAACATTTGTGTGAAGATTTACGACCCCATTCTGGTACCTCAGCCACAAAGGGTCACAATTTTCAATACTTTTATCTGTCATAACCTGCGAAATAAGTCAGCGATTATTTAAAACTTGCTATATCGAAATATTTCTCTCAACCAGAAACCTGGGATGAATATGGAATTCATGATTTCGCTGAAAATTGGATATAAATGTTCGATTTTCTTGTTATTTTGCACATATCAATATTTTTTTTAACATTTTTTTAACATTTTCTAAAAATGATCATAATATAAAGTGAAGAAAGTAGCCCAAACCTGGCACGTCACAATAATTATATCATATTTATTTGAGTCCGATACGAAATTTCCTTTACCTGAAGGCTCATATGGAAATTCAATCTAGAATACTTTTTCCTTTAAAACTTTCCCAAAAATTGAGAGAGATTTGGAGATTTAAAACGTTTAATATTAACAGCAAATAATTTCCACATGTACTACCTATATCAATTTCGAATATAATTTTCTTAAAAATTATTAAACCTTGATATATGGTCTGTTCTGAGACTTATAGTGAAATTTTGTGTAGAATATTTCTTCTTTTGACGGTTTTCTAAACAATAAAGTTTTGAGGAAGTTTTTGACTTAGAATGGAAACGCGTTAAATTATCAGTAAATAATGTAAATACAACAGTTTCACTTGTATTATACAAATATTGAATATCATTTAGAATAGAAACTATTGTACCTAGACATATGGTGTATTCCGAGATTTGTAGTGAAATTTTGTGTAGAATATTTCTTCTTTTAACCCTTTTTGCCTAAAACGAAATTTTATGTTACTTTCATATCAATTAAAAAAAAAAAAAAAAAAAAAAAGATCCAGTACAAATTGACCCAAGAATTAGAAGATGTTTTCGTGGGTTTTTTTGGCAACATTGATGCAAGTATTTTCTTGATATATAATGGAAATGGAGATTTCTTTTCTTTGATGACTTATAGTGAAATTTGATGAGGAATAATTTTGTCACGGCCACGTAGGTCCAGGTTTTCATATATTCATATAGTCCCCATATAACGGTACCTCCCGATATTCGGTATTTTGATGATCTTAGCGACATTATTCACCGGAATTATTTCAAATTTGGTTTTTGAAGTTCGTAGTAGGTACTACAGCCTAAGACAGAAAATTGCCTGTGCAGGTCCACGTCTTCGTATAGGCCCCATATACCAGTCCTCCCTATATTCGGTATTTTGACGACCTTAGGTACAATTCTCACCGAAATTGTTTGAAATGTCGTATTTGAAGTTCGTAATGGATGCTACAGCCTATGACAAAAAATTGTCTATGCAGGTCCAGGTCTTCGTATAGACCCCATATACCAGTACCTCCCTATATTCGGTATTTTGATAATTTTAGTTACATTATTCACCGGAATTGTTTCGAATTTCGTATTTGCACTTCGTAAGTATACTACAGTCTGTGACAGAAAATTGCCTATGCAGGTCCAGGTCTTCGGACAGCTCCGATATAACGGCACCTCCCTTTATACGATATTTTGATGATTTTAGCTACATTATTCACCGTTTATTTCAAGTTCCGAATTTGAATTTGGTTATGACTTATGACAAACTATGCCTGTGTGGGTCCATGTAGTATAGACACCAATATAACGGATATATTCGGTATTTTTAAAATTTTAACAGAGTTTTTTTAACGATTTTATTTCCAAATTCGTTCCAAATGGTGGAGGGTATTCAAAGTTCGGCCCGGCCGAACTTATAGCTCTTTAACTTGTTAGCTCTATTTTTAAAATCTGTTGGATTTTTCCTATAATTATTGATAAAATTCAATTTGGTCGCACAGTGTTTTCGTCTTTTTTTCCAAAAATCAAGTTTTGTTGGAGTAATTTATATAAACTTATATGAAGTACGCCGATAATCGTGTATTTGCTTTTTTTTCCTCTAATTTCATCATCCAGTAGAATTTTTCCCTGTAATAATTTGTGGTGTTGCACAGTGTAGTGTATATGGGGCCTATACCAATTGGTGGAACTGAATCATACATTTTTTGCCAAGGAGAAAACAGACATATCGAGAACCCCAATAGTCCAGATTCATCTAATTTGGTTTGAAATTGTGGTGAAACCTTCAAAATACCGAAAATCGGGAGATACCGTTATGTGGGGGCTATACAAATTAGTGAACCAGAATCGAATATTTTTATGAGGAGAGAACAGATCTATCGAGAACCCCAATTGGCAAGTTTCATCTAAATTGATTGAGAATTTTTTCAGAAACCTTAAAAACAGCCTAAGTCGGGAGGTATATGGAGGTTATGTATTGAAAATTTACTATTTTCAATATCTGCATATAATATAAATCTAAAATCTTTGTGGACTCTATCGTGATTTCCACAGACAGATGGGCATCGCTAAATCGTCTTATAATTTTATTCTGATAAGGAATAAATATACATTTTGAAATCTCCGACGAATATTTCGAGGTGTTGCAAACAAAACAAATTTAATATATGTATGGCGGAGGGTATAAAAATATGAGATATTATTAAAATAAAATAAAAATAAAAATACATATCTTGTCGTTTGGTATCGCCCTCGCCATCCTTCTTTCAAAATGTGTGACTTCGTCAGTACGTCAGAACTCCATTTAAAATGTTTTAAAACATTCACGCGTTTCCCAGTGTCATTAACACATCTGATAAAAGAATTTGTTTATCTACTAAACTGCCCTTTGTCTCCCATTGTAAACAGAAGATAAGTGTTTTGAATTGCTTACTAATAGACAAAGAAAGTGCATTAACCGTTTTTAATTGTTTGGAATTAAAAAAAAAAACAGTAAGTTTTGCCGGGTCGAACTTTAAATATGGGAGCTATATCCAAATCTGAACCGATCTCGATAAAATTTGGCAAAGATATTTCTGAGCTGTATTTGATATATTTCCCTGAATATCGTTGTTACGGAGTGCATATTACGGTTGTGGGTAACAAATATAACAAATCGGATGAATAATATATATGGAAGCTATAGCTATATCTGAACCGATCTTCACCAAATTTGACATACTAGCTTCTAGACTCAATACGGTCGTGCGTGCCAAATTCCATCCCATTTGGACAAATATTAGACGTTTGGTGCACAATAAAAGGTAAATCGGACGAAGTTATATATGGGAGCTATATCCAAATCTGAACCGATCTCGATAAAATTTAGCAACTGTATTTCTGAGCTGTATTTGATATATTTCCCCAAATATTGTTGTTGCATAGTGCATATTACGGCGGCGGTGGACAAAAATAACAAATCGGATGAACAATATATATGGGAGCTATAGCTATATCTGAACCGATTTCGATCAAATTTGGCATACATATTTTCCTAATTTGGGTGTATATGCAAAATTCCATACAATTCGGGCTGATATTACACGTTTGGTGCACAATAAAAGTCAAATCGGACGAAGATATATATGGGAGGTATAACTAAATTTTGACCGATTATCTCCAATTTCAATAGGGTTCGTCCTTGAGCCAAACAAAAGATCTATGCAAAATTTCATTTGGATCGGGCAATAAATGCGACCTGTACTTTGTTAACAAAAATACATGGACAGACGGACGGACGGACGGACAGACGGACGGACGGACATGCATAAATCGACTCAGAATGCGATTCTATGCAGATCATCAAAAGGAACTATGGGTCTATCTCGTTTCCTTCTGCCTGTTACAAACAAATGCACAAAGACATAATACCCTGACCACCTTGTGGTGTAGGGTATAAATACCGAATATAGACGTGGACCTCTATAGGAAAATTTTATTATAAGCCATTACAATATTCAAATACGAAACTTGAAAAAAAAAAAACAGGTGAATAATGTACATGTAATCACCGAAAAAAACCGAATTAAAGTGGGATTATATATCGGGCTATACCAAGACCTGGATCTGCATAGACTATTTTCTGTCACAGACTGTAGTTTCTATTACAAATTCTAAATACGAATTTTTAAACAACTCCGGTGAATAAAGTCATCATCAATATTGGGAGGTACCATTATATGGAGGCTGTACGAAGACGTGAGCCTGCATTGCACAATTTTTTATTATAGGCTGTAGCACCCTTTACGAATTCTAAATACGAAATTTACGAAAAAACTCCAGTGAATAATGCCCCTAAAATCGTCAAAATATCGAATATTGGAGGGTACCGTTGTATTTGGACTATACGATATCGTGGACCTATACAGACATTTCTCTTCCAGGGGGTAAAGCACCTAGATGGAACTTCTAGTATGGAGTTTTGGACAATTTCATTGAAAAATATTGCTAAAATCATCAAAATACCGAAAATAGTGAGGTACCGATATATATGGGATATACGATATCGTGGACCTATATAGATAATACTCTTCCAGGGGGTGAAATACTCAGAAGGAACTCCTTTTGTAGATTTTCAGACAATTTCATTGAAAATTTTGGCTACAATTATCAAAATGCCGACTATTGGGGGGTACCGTTATATGGTGGCTAAACGATATTGTGTACCGATATAGCATATCTTCGAACTTGACCTGCTTGCAGACAAAAGACTGATCTGTGAAAAATTTTATAATTACAACAGACGGATAGACGAGCAGATGGACGGACGGACAGGGCTAGATCGTCTTAGAACTTTAAAACTCACTAAAACTATTATTTCAGAAAATTCGGCCCGTTGTGAGGGAAATCCCAGACAGAGTGGGCCCATATTGGCACCAGACCAAAGTTTTCGAAGGCAGTATTCGCTTTAGTGCAAATTGGAAAGACATTCAAAATTTACATGTAGAGATGTGTGTAGCTCTACATGTAAATTTTGAATGTCTTTCCAATTTGCACTAAAGCGAATACTGCCTTCGATTTTCATCTCTGGGTATATTCCCTAAGTTGGAAACGGTCTTTGAACAAAGAACCAATGAGTCACAGCTTGCCACCTTTAATGGTATACCCATATGGTCTGTTGATCGAATTAAGCTTTTTTTTATTCGGCCCGGCCGAACTTACTGCTTTTTTACTTGTTATTGCTACGCAAATTTCAATACTGTAGCGAAATACATTATCATTATTTTTGGTTAGTGTGATCAAATGGCATGTGGGGAAGTGCCCGTTATTTTGTATGTGCATTGGAGAAACTTTTGATAACACTGAGCGATTTTTTAACCCTCAATCGAGTTTGTTTTATCACGATAGAGTTAAAACGAATAAAGATGGGAAGCTAAAATTTTGCAAAGATCAGTGTTTTGTCTGCATGCAGGCCAAGTTCGAATATGGGCTATATCGGTTCACGATATCGTGGGCCCCCATATAACAGTACTTCGGTATTTAGATGATTGTAGCCAAATTTTTTAAATAAAGCTCTCTGAAAATCCACACAAGGAGTTCTTTCTGAGTACTTTACCACTGAATTGTCTATATAAAATTTGCGATATAGAATAGTCCATATATAACGGTACCTCCCAATATTCGGTATTTTGATAATTTTAGCTACATTATTCACCGGAATTGTTTCGAATTTCGTATTTGCACTTCGTAAGTATACTACAGTCTGTGACAGAAATTTGCCTATGCAGGTCCAGGTCTTCGTATAGCCCCCATATATCGATACCTCCCTATATTCGGTATTTTGATGATTTGACGGTACCTCCCAATACTCGGTATTTTGACTTTTATTTTAGGTACAATATTCACCGAAATTATTTGAAATTTCGTATTTAAAGTTCCTAATAGGTACTACAGCCTGTGGCAGAAAATTGTCTATGCAGTTCCAGATCTTTGTATAGACCCAATATATATTGGTCTCCCCTTTATGTGAAATTTTGATGATTTTAGCTACATTATTGACCTTTATTTTTTTCAAGTTTCGTATTTGAATATTGTAATGGCCTATGAAAAAAAAAAATTGCCTATGCAGATCCACGTCCTCGTATAGACCCCAATATAATGGCTATATTCGGTATTTTTAAGATTTTAACAGAATTGTTAAATTTTTAAATTCGATCCAAATATTAGAGGGTATTCAAAGTTGGATTTTATTATTTTTTTTTTAATTTTTTGAGACCAAAATCCTGCATTTTATTTATTTATTTTTTAAATTTTAATATTTTTTTTTAATATTATAATTTTTTTATTTTTTTTAATATTTTCATTTTATTTATTTTTTTTAATTTTTTATATAACAGCTTATTTTTTTTTTCAAGGTATTTAATGAAAGTGTTGTCAGATCTATAAAATGACATTTTTCAGGACTTTCAATGCAATATTCTTTTTTTTTTGGAAAATTTAATCCGTTATCATATCAGGGCTATAATTTTTATCTTAAGCCCTTTACGCTTCTGAGGATTTTTTATTTATTTCTTCTTCACAAAACAAAGAGTATTTCTGGCTTTCGTTCATAACCCGTCATGGCCGTGAATAACTTATGAATTACACACGCCTTATATCACGTTCGCTTTTCCTTTCAATTCTTTTTACATATAGCACAAGCTTACTCATTTGTTGTTTTTATTGTTTTTGTTTTTTTATCTGAGTAATGCAATTTCTATTCAGTGTGCATCAAGTTGTCGAGCCATAAACATCTATCATTGCAATAGAAAAGCAACGTCCGAACTATTTGCAATTATTTTAATACGTTGTTTTTTTTTCTCTTTTTCTTACGAAACAAATTGAAAAACTATAGCTTGACTTTGAACATTTCTCGTTTGGGTTTTCTGAAGTTGGGTTCTAATTCAAAATTATGGCAACTTGTGATCGACACCAGCAGGAGCTGCAGTGTAATGAAAACTTCTCACCTGTGATTGGCATTTTGTGTATCGACATTGCCTCAGCCCTACAAAAGAACTATGGCAAAGAAAATCAGAGTTACTTGGCTGCTTCGTATGTCAAATATTTGGAAGCAGCCGGTGCGAGAGTCATACCAATATGGTAAGTCATGATGGCACTTGTTTTGATTTTGAATAGGCTGGTGCTGGGGTGGAGAGGGGGGTACTAGGCCACTTTTCATGTTGACAATGCCAAACAATGGCAAAAAGAAAGAAGAAATTTGTTTTGTAAACAAAAAACATAGCCACAAATACCTGCAAAAGATTGCATAAACAATGCAAAGAGATTTGTGAGATTGAGATGCAGTAAAATTAAAAGAGAGATGAACTGCTATATGTGGGAGAGAGTGGGTGGGAGAGAGTAGTGGTATCCTATGTGGGAAAAAAATCAATAAATAACCACCAAACAGGGCAAAAATACTCACACAAATATGCGGTGTTTTAATATCCACGAGAACAGTGTTGTTTATCAACATTGGCATCCATATATATTAGAATTTCGTTAGAAAAAAAAAACGGCCAAAAAACTGTGAATGCTTTAAGAAAACTTAAGAGGGCTATATCAGAACTATACGAGTAGGTGTTTTTTTTTTAATATTTTTGAGAATCGGTCATCTCTAAGATTTTGTAGAAGTGAAACCAAAGTGAGTCGCAGTACGAGGAAGGTAGAGATAAAGTGACTTTCATTATTATGGGAAAAATCAATAGAGAACCTCCACACACAACTACTACTCACGCAGATATGCAGTGTTTTCATTTCTATTAAAATAGAGTTGCCAATTTTAAAAAATGCACACAAGCACACAAACATCCGAACTTGCTAAACAAAAGTAATGGTCAAATTGTTTGAATAATCAAATTAATAAAAGAATAAAGTGATTGACTGACTTAATGAACGTCAAAGCCCAGACGTAACGTCTGAAGCTAGAAATTTTATACGAGGGTCAGTTTTGGCGAGTAGGCTTGTGATAAGAATGGGTTTTTGGAAATTCGCATTATAAGGTTACGAAATGTACTTACAGTTGAATACTTTGCAGTGGACATAGGGAATGAGCTAGAATTCTGAAATTTTGGAATGAGAGTCACTGGAGTCCTGCACTGGAGTGCAGGATGGATATATCGAAGGGTTTTTGGAATTCAAACTTTAAGTTTACGAAAAGTTCTAAAATGGTACTAAAATTCTAAAATGGTACCATTTGGTTTGGTTGTTAACGGATGGAGATAAAAACTTGAAATTTGATAACAGAATTAAGGTTGGAAAGAAAATTTGATATATGAAGGTCCTTTAAAAATGTGTATGAACTGTACTAAATGGTACTAAATTTGAAATAGTTTCGTTTAGGGTCAACGGTTGAAGCTGGAATATTGAAATTTTATATTGGGGCCCCTGCTGGTTTTTGGTTTGTGATAAAGACTGAGCTAGAATTCTGAAATTTTGAAATGAGTGTCACTAATGGAGTGGAGGATTGATGTACCGAAGGGTTTTTGGAAATTCGAACTTTAGGGTTACAAAAAGTTCTACACTCGTACAAAACTTCTAAAATGGTACCGTTTGGTATTATGTTAACGGATGGAGCTAAAAACTTGAAATTTGGTATGAGAATTGAAGTTGGAAAGTAAGTTTGAAATATGAAGATGGCTTTGAAAATCTGAACTAAGTGTAAGAACTGTACTGAATGGTACTAAATTTGAAATAGTTTCGTTTAGGGTAAACGGTATTTTGAAATTTTATATTGAGGTCCTTGTTGGTTTTAGGTTTGTGCTAAAGATGTAGCCTTGGATATATGTACTGCAAGTGCACGAAAAGTGCTATATAGTACTATATTTGGTACAATTTGGTTTTGGGTGAACATATAGTGCTTGAAATTTGAAATATGGTATTTATGGTCGCAGTTTAAGTGTAGCCGGGACATATGGAGCACTATAATTGTATGAAAAGTACTAAAAATGGTAAAATTTTTTTATTAAACTCATTGTTGGTATCTGGAAGTGAGACATGAAAGTGGTAATTGTACCGAAAGTACTAAATAGTACTAAATTTGGTATTGGGTGAAGGAATAGAGCTGAAATCTTGAAATTCGATATAGATGTCGCTGTTGGTGTCTGTGGTAAAGATATAGAGGTGTTTTTGGAAATGTGTACTATAATTGTTCGAATTTTTTTTTTGTCATAGGTTGAAGTACCCATTACACATTTCAACAACGAAGTTTGAAATAAATCCGGTTAATAATGTAGCTAAAATCATGAAAATACCGAATGTCGGGAGGTACCTTTTAATGAGGAAAAATTCCATTGAAACATGTGGCTAAAATCATCAAAATACCGAATAGAGGGAGCTATCGTTATATGGGGGATATACGAGGATGTGGACCTGTACAGACAATTTTCTGTCATAGGTTTTAGTATCCATTACGAACTTCAACTACGAAGTTTGAAATAATTCCGGTCAATAATGTAGCTAAAATCATGAAAATAACGAGAATATCAGGAGGTACCTTTTGATGAGGACTATACAAAGACGTGGACCTGCATGTCCGTTTTTGATCAAGGCTGAAGTACCCATTGTGAAGTTTTTATACGAAATTGCCAATATTTGATTTTTCAAAAAAATCAGATTCCATTAACATCAGATTCCATTCAGACTTGCCACATACTAATATTTCCATCATCACAAGATCTGCTATAAAGATGTTAGAGATTGAACCGTTTCTTCTGGTACCACCCCCCACATAGTGTTCAAGGTTTTAAAAAAACAAAAACGCTCAAAGGAGGCGAAATAACAAGATCTGTTGTGAAGATGATGTATATATTTGCGAACCCCTTCTGGTACCTCACCGACAATGGGTGACAATTTTCAATACTTTTATCTGCCATAACTTGCGAAACAAGTCAGCAATTCCATTGAAAAATGTGGCTAAAATCATCAAATACCAAATATCGGAGGGTATCTTTTAATGGAGGCTTTACGAAGACGTGGGCCTGCATGCGCCATTTTTTTCAGCCTATCACAAAAATCATCAAAATATCGAATATTGGGAGGTACCGTTATGTGGGGGCTAAACATGGACCAACATGGCCCCTTTACGAACTTAACCTGCCTACTGGCTAAATACACATGTGTTCAACATTTTAGCCTTTTGTCTCAATTCGGAGCTACAAAGGGATTTAGATAGTATTGTGGAGGGTATAAAAATTATTTAAATTAATAATGAATTTTGAAAAAAAACTGAATCTGAATTGTGGCCTCTTAAAAAAACTTTCCTGAATCGTGTATTAATTAAAAAACAATTTCTCGATTGTTGCAATTTTTAAATATTCACAAAATATCTTTTGATCTTTCATTCCAGGAACAATCGATCCCAGGATTACTATGAGTCGATAATGAATAAAATCAATGGGTGCGTCACAATGGAACTTCTTCAAATGTATACAATGTATTCTCTTTCAGAATTCTCTTACCGGGTGGCGCCATTTATTTCAATAAAAAATATTGCACCAAAGACATGACCAGTCACTGCTATGACAGCTCCAGGTGTATATTCGAGATTGCTCGCCAACTCAACGAGCAGGGACGACATTTTCCACTGTGGGGTACCTGCTTGGGATATCAAATGCTCTTGACGCATTCGGCTGGGGTTGAGGATGTACGACAAGATTGCACAGACATGAAGCAATCATTGCCAGTACAGTTTGAAGATCAGAATGGTAAAATGCGGGTTTGATGTCCATTGCAAAGTTCATAATCTTTTTTTTTTTTGTTTGATTCTTTTTAAGTTTTGAAAAAATCGAAATTATTTGCAAACCTAGACGAGTCGATGAAGGAGAAAATGTCAAAACAGCCATTTGGTTATCACTATCATCGTTATTGTATAACAAAGGGGGATTTGAGCCTTTTCAAAATCGAGGGGCAATGGCGGGTGTTGGCCACCAATAAAGATGCCAAGGGTTTGGAATTTATAACCTTAACTGAACATGTGAAGTAAGTAAAATCGGCGAGAGAGAAATCATTTTTTTTTTTGTTAAAATATGTGACCTCCACCGCCTAAAAATATGTTTTCCTAACATGCGTTTTTTTAATCTAATATTATTATTAATTTTACCAGATTCCCCTTCTTTGGTTCACAAATCCATCCGGAACGGGTATTCTATGAAAATTTGCACGACCGCGACTCATGCCATCAGTGTCCCAGCTGTTATGAGCTGAATCAGTATTTCGCCAAATTTTTTGTCCAACAATGCAGGGCGAATGCAAATCGTTTCGAGGACCACAAGGAACTAGTCCGTTATAGTATCAATAATTTCCCCCTTACATTTACGGGCCCGGAGAAGTTGCACTGGCAATTATGTTATCTCTTCAAAGCGAATACGGATTATCCAAACCAAGTTCTAGAAAATGGAGGAGACGGAGAAAGTGACAAGTGATTAGGCGTTACAGCAGCCGATGAACAGAAACATGATAAGATATTGTAAGATAACATCAACTATGAGGTTGATGTCTGATGGAGGGCACAAAGCGTTTTTTTTTTGATGTTTAAATATGAGTCGGGGGTTGTTTTTAATGGTGCTTTAAATGTAAAAATATTTATGTATGTATTTGCTTTTGTATAATGTATTAGCCAAATATAGTCAATAATTTCTTAAATCGTTAGAATTATTTTTTTTTCGTTCGTCGATTTGTTTCCCAAAAATTTATAAAAAAACAAGTAAGCAAAGGCTATGGTCGTGCGGGGCCGACCATGTGATACCCTACAACACTGCAATATGTTCGAAGTCCACTTAAATCCAAATCCATTTTGAAAGATTTCCAGAGAGCCCTGCCCAGAGGTTAACCTTAGGTTTTTGGACCCGGAGAATTTGGCCAATATTTACGCACTCCGTAGTATTGTTAAGTATTCAAAATAATTGCACACGAAAGTTGTGGTCCATTTTACAGCTAAATATAATCCAATGGTCATCCTTAACTCTCATCCGATGCGAAATTCCGTGTCGATTAGTTTTCAATTGTGGCCTACAGAACAACTACAAAATTAAGAAAATTTAAAATTTTTTAGCCATTTAAACCTTTGAATGTACATCCTAAGAATGGTAGGCTTTAATTCCGACCCTACACCCATGCAAAATTTCGTGAGGATAATACCCTCAAAACGTAGTGTTGGGGGGTGTAAAAATTTAAAAAATATAGAAATAGAAAATTTAAAATTCAAAATTGTAAGTCAAATTGAAAAAATCGCATGCCACAAAAATATGACAAAAATGGATAAAAAATGAAACAAAATATATAACTTTTTTTTATTGGTATATTATCCTGCGATTTTCTTAGATTTTATCCTTTTCTGGCAAGAGACCATTTCGAATTGATGGGAATTGGGAAAATTGGCCCAGCGGTTCTTGATTTATAAGCAGAATAAATAAGATAAATTTTTTTACATATATATATTGTACCTATTTTGCTATATATCCGATTTCTTGGCTATTAGCATCACTTAGTGGTCAGAAGTGATCTTTTAATGTATTTGCGATTTGGCTGGGATTAAAAATATTTGCGGTTTAGTGGAAATTTTCCTATTTTCTAACATAAAAGTTAGGGTCTATTTTACTCGCTAATTTTTGTCCGATGGCGATTGGTAGGTTTCTGTCCAGTCCCAAACTCTAACTCCATGTAAATTTTCGCGTCGATTGGTTCATAATTGTGGCCTATAGAGCAACTGCAAAATCAGGAAAATATTCTGCTTTTTGGTCCATTTCAACCCCTAAATATCGTGCGATCATCTCCAAAAACAATAGGGTTCTATTCTGACCCTAACCCCACCTTCATTTTCAATTTCTTGAGGAACGGTTCATAATTGCGACCTGTAGAGTGATTACAAATTAACATGGACGGACGGACGGACGGATATACATAGCTAGATCGACTCAGCTCGCCGAGATAGGAAGATCCATATATACTTTCCTATGTGGGAAACCAATATTTCGAGGTGTTACATAATTTTTGGCCCAATCAAACTTATAATACCTCCAACACATAGAGTTGTAGGTTAAAAATATTCATTGTTTTTATACCCTCCACCATACATCATGGTATGGAGGGAACGAACTTAATCCGTTCCGTTCCGTTTGTAACTCATTGAAATAATAATTTAGACCAAACAAATAGCTTAAGATAGGAAGCTAAAATTTTGCACAGATCTGTCTTTTGTCTGCAGGCAGGTCAAGTTCTCAGATGGGCTATATCAGTCCATGATACCGTATAGCCCCCATATAACGGTACGCCCCGATATTTGGTATTTTGATGATTTTAGCCACATTTTTCTATGGAATTGCCTTAAAGTTCACACAAGGAGTTCTTTATGAGTATTTTACCTCCTGAAAGAGAAGTGTCTATATAGGTCCACGATATTGTATATCCCCCATATAACGGCACCTCCCGATATTTTGATGATTTTTGCCACATTTTCCCACGAATATGTCTAAAATTTGATGTTAGTGGGTCATAATTGATTTAAATGTTTGCATTACCCTAAGGTGGAGGGTATTAAAAGTTCGGCCCGGTTGAACTTAATGTTTTTATACCCTACAACACTATGTGTTGAGGGTATTATAAGTTTGATTGGCCCAAAAATTATGTAACACCTCGAAATATTGGTTTCCCACATAGGAAAGTATATATGGATCTTCCTAGCTCGCCGAGCTGAGTCGATCTAGCTATGTATGTCCGTCCGTCCGTCTGTCCGTCTGTCCGTCTGTCCGTCTGTCCATGTTAATTTGTAATCACTCTACAGGTCGCAATTATGGCCCGATCTTCACGAAATTTAGAATGGAGGTGGGACTGGGGTCAGAATAGAACCCTATTTCTTTTGGAGATGATCGCCAAATGTTTAGGGGTTGAAATGGACCAAATACTGAAAAAATGTCGGATTTTGCAGTAGCTATACAGGTCGCAATTATAGACCAATCCATGCGGAATTTCGCATGTAGCTAGAGTTTAGGGCGGGGAAGAAGCCTACCAATTTGGGTGGTCTTCGGATAATATTTAGCGGGTAAAATAGACCATATCTTTTGTGTTGAAAAAATTCAAAATTTTTCATTAAACCGCGAATATTTTAAATCCCGGCGAAATCACAAAGCCATGACAAGGTTACTTCTGATCTTTACATTGATGTTAACATCCAACAAAACGGATATATAGCAAAATATGTGCGATATATATGTTTATCAAAGAAGATATGCTTGAAAAATCTCTTATATGTCGAGAACGGCTGAACTGATTTCGACAGTTCTCATTAATTCAGAATGGCCTCTTGGCAGGAAAGAAAAAACGTCTAAAAAAATCTCATAAAAATATCTCTCTAAAGATGAAAATAATGATTTTTTAAAATTTTCTCATATTTTTTCAATTTTGTCATATTTTTGGCATATTTTCATTTTGAATTAAATATTTGGTAATATTTCTACAGCTAACAAAACTAAGTAGTTAGAATATCAGGATATCATATACAGATCGCATTTATGGCCCAATCCTTACGAAATTTTGCATGGGGATAAGATGAGGGTCAGAATAGAAGCCTACTCTTTTTGGAGATGATCGCCATATATTTAGGGGTTGAAATGGACCAAAAAACTGCAAAATTGTCTGCAGGTCGTAATTATCGCCCGATCCTCACGCACATTTGAATGGGGGTTATCGGACATTTCAAAAGCCAAGCAGTTTTGGATGGCCATCCAAAAATATTCAATATGTGAAATAGTTCGCCAACTTTTTTAGACAAAATGCGAAAATGTGCATTCCAATGACTTTTTGGAGAATTCACAAATACAGGAAAGACGCACTTTTGACTATCTCATATAGATGCGTTTCAGTCAAAAACCAATAATAAATGTTAATCTTTTGCCACTTCTGAGAGATTATAGGTCTTTGGGAAATATTGGTTCCAGATCTAGGAAGACCATTTACGTGCAACTTCTACCAATAAATTGGAAATGAGCAAATTATTTTAAGTTGCTATTATTCGAAAATTAGAGAACGAAACCTGATGGTTTTCTTTTATTATTTGTCACAATATCTTGTGGAATTCTTTCGAGTATCTCGCCTATATAAACTGTATCGTTTATTATAGTGTTGTAGGGTATTCAACGGTCGGCCCCGCTCGACTGTAGCCTTTGCTTACTTGTTTACATGTTTTTTTTGAAATATTGAAATAATTGTGTCGCTTTACAACCAATTTTTGTTTTTTTTTTGAAAAATTATAAAAAAAATTCAGAAATATTTAAGAATTCTTTAATTTTAAAAAATATTTTATGGCGTAAATGATAGCGTTTTTTTAAATATGCTTGCATACTATAATCGTGAATTTTTCAAAATATTTTTTCAAGCAATAATCTTTTATCTTTAATTATTTGTTTAATTTTTAAATTTTATTATTAAATTTTATGAATTTGAATTTTCATATACCTATTTGAATTTTTTATTTGGGATTATTTTTTCGAGGACTAATGTTTTTTTTTTTCAAGTATCCAAACAATAATCGTGAATTTTTATACATATTGTTTTATAAATATATATATATATATATATATATACATATATATATATATATATATATATATATATATATATATATATATATATATATATATATATATATATATATATATATATATATATATATATATATATATATAAATATATATATAAATTGTTTTCTAGCAATAATCGTCATTTTTTATATATTCTTTATATTTTTATCTTTATATTTTTTTGATAATTCCAATAATAGTGTTAAAATATATATTTGCATCAATGCTTTAAAATATTCTCCCCTCCCTCTGCCTCTATGCAAATAAACTTTAATTTGATTTTCCTGTTGCCTTTACAAACCTCCACAATTCCAAAAAAAAAAAAATATTGTCTGACACAAAGTCTGTAGCCAAAAACCAAGCGGCAGGAATTTTCCATAATCTCTAGAAATAATAATGACCAGCCATAATAACGAAATCATAAAACAACAGCGAATTGCCTTTTTCCCCACAATTTTTGACAAGGGATGTAGCCAACACACACACACACACAATGGATACTGATGGGTGGCTGGGTTGGTTGCCTGTAATTCTTTGGGGTTACTCGAAATGATTTGTCGGTAGTTTTCCTCTAATTCAAACAAAACATATCAACAGATGTTTGAAAATGTATCTTTTGATTTGTTTTGCCATTGTTTCCGTTTTTTTTCGGTTGATATGGAAATTTTCCAGGAATAAGTTTTTGGGGAAATTTTACGCTTGCCTGTGGTGATGTCTGTGGTGGCCTCGAAATTGGCGAATGCGACAAAGAGAAAGAAAAACATTTGATAAGAGTTAATATTCGTCGAGGGAAATAAATATTACGAAAATGGGGGAATCGTATGACATCTTATGGTAGAGGCCAAGTGTCTGATGGAAGATATGCTAAGGTTTGGTTAGCTTATTTGAAATGTCATAAGCTCGGACTTTAATAATTACATATTAATTAGTAAAAACATTAGAGAATAATATAACAACAGTAACAAATAGAACATCTTTTCAAGGACCAATATTTTTATATTAAATTATTTATTTGATTTTTTTATTACATTTGTTTCCAAGGATGTATGCGTGGATTTTTAATAAATA